TATTAATAATTAAAAATATAGAAAAATAGAAGGAAAAAGTAGAAAATAGAAAAAATAGAAAATGGCTCAATGGTTTGTTGGGATTCACATTTAAGAGGGTTGCTGTGGTGAAACTATTCCACGAGTAGGTTAGGTCTTTCAAAAGTCCGAGTGATGCTAGCAACTCATTTGTACTTCTATTTGCCAACTGATGGTGATAAAATTTGTCTGATGTGATAAAGCAAGCGAAGCGAGCCTAGTTAATGAAAAAATTTTTAAAAAACGAATCTGCAGGAATAAAGTATTTAGATTTATTTATAAGATAAAATATGAATTTGTCATTTTTTAAGCGAAATATTAAAGCAATTACATTAAATTGAAGTAATCGACAAGTTGTCAAGAACTAAAATGCAAGCAAACGAAATAAATTTTATTATGATTGACTTAAATAGATGAAAAAAATTTTAACGCTCAACATTTTTCGTTAGACCATTTCAACTGACTGCTTTTATGCCTAAAAAAAAAAAAACTTTTGCTGTCATTTAGCGAAAAAACGAAAGGTGAAATGCCAGTATTACCCGGATTTCTGGATTTCTGGATAGCTTTTCATAACTATCCCATTCTCCTTAGCTTTCCTCATTAGGCGACACCACAACCATTCGATGAAGCGACATCGACCGGATTCGGATATAAGCCATAACTCTCGATGGGCGATTATCTAGCAACTAAACCACCGACGCATCTATTTAACGTTTAACCAAATTAAATTAATAGAAATATTTTAATTTGCAGCAAAGATCAGCAAAAACTTTATTAGGTGTCTGCAATTATGGCAAAATATTTTCATTTTGCCTCGTTTAATAAAAAAGAGATAATAAAATAAAAATATTGCATAAATGAAAAATGCTATTTAAAAATATGGGTGGAATGAAGAGTAGAACTGCTCGGAGGGTTCTGTTGGAGATACGCGGTTTTGTTCTTAGAAGGAATGAAGCTGTATTTCAAAAACTTTCACGGCTTTCCCAAAGACTGCCTAGTCAAGTGGTATATTTCTAGGTTCAAATATATTTTTGAATCCCATTCCTTGATGAAACCCACCGTTAAAAGTGAAATCCAGGTAATACCATGGATTCACCCATATAATCAATAGAGCTAACCAAATTTGAAATGGTGAAGGTTGTCAGAATGAAGACACATAAATGATTTGTTCAAGGTCACAATTAATACGAGATTATAATATAGATTATCAATAATTCGCTTTACCAGGTCGAATATTCAGTGAAGCAGATAGATTTATTTCGTCTAGCTCAAGGGGGAGGTAGGGGGGGGGGAAGGGGGCTTAGGTTTAGACAAATCAAATATTTTTTGTAGTTTTTTTTGATTTTTGCATAAGCTGAAAATTATATTGATGAAAAATAATATGAATTCAAATGGTATCGTATGCTGTTAATATAAATTTTTTATAAATTTCTAGGCAAACTAATTAGCTAACTAAGCTAGCATAGCCAAAAATATAAGCGCTAGCCATTTACTTCCTTAATTAGGTAGAATGGCTCAGTGGGTTGTTGCTCGATGGGGAACGCCGATGCTGAAGATCGACTCTTCGCAGGAGAAAATCCGGATAGACCTATAAAAAAATCCGAATGATGCTGGCGATTCACCTGTATATCTATCGCCGGGGAACTCCCTGGCATATTGCTCAATGTGACAAGCCAGTAGAGCGAGTTTAACCAGTAATGGTGAGAACTCTCTCATTTACATTCTTAATTACCCGCTTTTATCAGTTCAGTGAATGCAATTTAATTAAAATATTCAATAATTTTTTCTAAAATCCATCGATAAATAAATTTTTTCGAAAAAAATTTTGCTAAATAAATAGAGCAAAAAAAATAAAATTTCGCCGAATATTTTAAAATAATTTTAATAAATTATTTCCTTTTAAAATTTTCTTACTAAATTATCCAAAAAAAAATTATTTTGAGAAAACTTTTACAAAAATTCTAAGACAATTTTATAAGTTATATTTAAAAGAAAAAAAGAAAAATGCAATAAAATGGCAAATTCGTCTTCAAATTATTTGTTTTATGAATTTCAACACCACTAATAATTCGATAATTTTTCATATAAAATTGCTAAAATGAAAAAATAAAAATAAATAATTGTTTAAATTAATTTCATTAATTTCAAAAATTCTCATTTCTGCTATCATCAATAATCTTCCAACAACATTTCTCATTTGCGCTAACTAATAAGACTTTTTCATGAGACAATTATTAAAAGTTCATGTGCTTTCCTCTAGGATTTCATTTCTACTGATAGGTTTGCTTCTTTCGTCGAATACATCGAATAATATGAAGCAATTAAATGAAACCATAACATTTTGCCTTTCGTCGCTGATCAAAATCTAAAATATGAATTAGATGAATTAGCAATATTTCCAAATAATAAATAAAAATAATTAAAAAAAAAAGAAATATGAAAAACCTGAATGAAAGTAAAATCCACGGATATAATAAAATTTAGTAAATAATGAGCAAATGATTAACAAAAGAAAAAAAAATTGAGGAAAAATCGAAAAATTGATTTGAACTAAAATTAAATTATCGAAAATGCTTGCTAAAAATCATTAAATCATTAGATATCTCAAAAATAATAAAAAATATAAAGAAATTTTTATGAACAAATTCTTCCAAAAATATTTTTTCATTTTTTAAGTTATTTAATTTTTTAATTTTTAATCTTTAAATTTTTTTATTCATTTTTTTAATTCGGAAAAATCAACATTTCTGGTTAATTCCACTGATCTATTAAGGAAAAATTTTTTTCACAGAAGGATTATTTGGTTTCTCGAAAATACCGACGAATAACGTCCAATTCCATGTTTTCTCGTAGTTCAAACCATATGCCACTCGACTGGCTATTCTTCTTTTTTTGGCTGAAACAGTTGTAATTTTGGTTATAAGAAATGAATTGATAACGAAATTATCATGAATACTTCAACGGTTAATTTTATTTATTTATTATTCTATTTAATTTCTAATTAATTCATTATTATTCTTATTCTACTCAACTCGCATAATTGCTGGTTTCGCTCCCTCTTATAAGATTTTAGTCTCCAAACATTCCAATTCGATGATTAATTGAGCTCTTGTCACTCTTATCAGTCTTATTATCAATTTTTTTTGGCTTTTCCCATCACTATATATTGCTGGGCTACTTAAGCGCTTCTTTATCTGCCTAGGCTTTGAACTGAATTTCCACGCCATATATCATAAAGATTTAGTATTTAGCATTTAGAAAGACAAATATAAATTCCTGTGATGAGTAACGAAAAATATGATCTAATCACCATAATAGACATTCACTAATGACGTAATATAGATAGTATTTGTGGTAAAGTGGATGTTATCACGTAAGATCTTATCAGTGTGGTGAGTAGGAAGAATGCACCTAAGACTATTATGGTCGAAACATTATTGTAGATAGCTTCTTCATAAACTTCCATTTTAGCTAGTCATGTTTTGTAGGGTTTAAAATATTATTTCATATATGAATTAAAATAATTTCATGGATTTCTATAAATGCGGATTAAAAACATTCGCATTAAGTAATTTTAGAATGATTGAATGATAAAATGACGGCAACAAATAATTTAAAACTTTAGTCTCCAAGCATTCCGACCCGATATCATATATTAATTGAAATCTTATCACTCTTATCACTCGTATTATCAGTTTCTTTTGCTTTTTCCATCGGCTTTTGAATTTAAAAATTTAGCGCTCCACGTTAAATGATCACCGTCTTCGCCTTTTAATTGTTTTATTCATTTCTATTATCATTTTGTTACTAATATATATCATAGTGATTAGCCATAAGAAATGCCTTCTTTAAAATGCATGAAATCTCATGAAAATTTGATTTTCATGAGTAGTTTGCGGCTAATTAATCCCCTTTTGCAAAATAAATCCACGTAAAAATGTTTAGAGTCTATAATCCAGCAAAATTCAAAAAGACAAGCTATCCGAATATTTATAAAATCGCATAAAATAATGATTAATGTAATAAATGTATTTCCTGATGGCCACGTTAAGATTAGTTTAATTCATTACCAGTAGAATGGATTTAGACGAGAGGATTCTGAAGATAAGGAATTCCTTTTGCTATTGGAGAAATATTAAAAACTTATCAGTTTTATCAGTTTTCAACCAAGTAAATGCCATACAAATCTTCTCAATCAACATGCACAAAGTTTTACTCCTACATATGATGGGAATGATTCTAAGAAAAAAAAGGTACCAGTGATTTAAACAATCGATTCAATATTATTTGAAATTTTAACTCTTGAAACGAAATTTCGAATGCAGTAGAATTTCGATTCTTGGATTTTGTTCCTTTTTTTTATTTTATTTGTAGAAATATTCTTGATCGCTTTTTGTTCTATTAAAAAAAATCTAGTCGAATATTCTCCTGGGTATACAAATATTAGGCTAAGGGACAATTAGGTCACCGCTTGTCAATTATTTAGTGCAAGGGTCAAAGGTTATATTTTAAAATCTGCATGAACTTCATAGATGCAACTGAGAAATTGCGTTAAAATATATAATATATATCGTTGGTGAGAAAAGAATGAAAGTCGAAAAAAAAACAAACATTCTAAGTGTGAACGATGCTTAAAATCTTATATGGGATGAATGATGTCTGCCAGATTCTTCTTCTTCTCACCATTAGTCCGGCGCCTAGTAATAAAAGCCATTCCTTTTTCTATCGTCTAAATCCATATGTGCCAAATAAAAAAAAATAAATCCTGAAAATTTTATTGTTCGAAAAAAAAAATATTGTTTGTGAGCTTGCAATAGTTCAGTGAAATTAAATCAAATTATATTATAAACTATTTCATTTCGATTAGATTTTTTATTTTATTTTTTTTTTTGTATTTTTTATTTATAATTTATTTATAATTTTATTTATAATTCTCTTTTTTTTTTAATTTAATATTTTTCCTTAGATTTTTGATATTTTTAATGGAAGAAAACGAAACGAATGATACGAATTCACTGACATATTTTAAACGATTACCATCAGAAGTTGAAGATGGTTTAATTTCGACATCGTCGTCAACGATTTCAAATTGGTTTATTCGTTTTTTTAAGCCAATAAGAGAATCATATAATTCGAATAGCGCAAATACGTCGAATAAAATCGACAATGTTAACAATGAGGAAGCACGAAAAATTTCATTAGTTGATAATTGTTCAGGTAAATTTTCATTAATTTTTTTTTTTTTTTTTTTTTTTAGGATTCATTTTAAAACAATTAGAAATATTTTGAAAGAAAAAATAGAATTTAAAATTTTTTTATTTTTTAATTTATTTAATTTTCAGAATTTGAGTAAAATTTGCAAAAAGAAAAGAAAAGTTAGTTTATATGCGTTTTTTTTTGAGATGATTCAGAACCAAATTCCGAATCAGTTATCAATGAAAGACCTATGAAGAAAGAATCAGATTCAAGTCGATTTTCAAATCGGCTTTCATCAATTTTTCGTTCCCGTCGACAAGTTCTTATAGATTATAATCAGTAAAATTTTTTTTTTACTTTATTTTCCGTTTTTTTTTTGATAGGATAATTTCTATTTTAGTTTTAATTCTTTTCTAAATTTTTTTCCTTTTTTTTTCATTTTTAGAAGTGATTTTCGTCGTTATTGGATGCCAGATTCAAGTGGAAAGGAGTGTTATGAATGTCAAGAGAAGTTTACCGCGTTCAGGCGTCGTCATCATTGTCGTCTTTGTGGTCAAATTTTTTGTTCGAAATGCTGTTCTTATCAGGTTTCAGGTGTTCTTTTAGGTGAGTTTTCGTTTTTTTATTCAAAATTTTTTTCATTTTGTTTTTTTATCACATTTTCCACTTTTTTTTTCCAGTGAAGTTTGTTTATTTCTGTTGCGTAATACTTTTTCATTTAAGGTTATACGGGTGACTTAAGGTTGTGTGGTTATTGTGCTCAAATAGTTGTTTCCAGATTACCACAGTTAAAATTGGGTGCAATATGTGATAAAGACGATACATCTTCAGTTCATGATAATAGTGAGATTGCAACTGTTTCGACTGGTTTGAAATTTTTTTGTCGAATTTTCTCAAATTATTAATTATTTGGTTATTCTAAATTATGAATTATTTGTTCGATTATTCTGAACATTATTATTCTAAACAATTTCCCTTATATTTTTAAATTTTCTTCGATCTTGTAAAGTATTTCTAAATTTTCTAAATTTTATCGTTATTTTAATTTGTTTAGGCCCAGTATTATGGTCTTGTGAACCACTGGTTAATGGAAACTTAATGGAAGAATCGAAAGCGCTTCCGAGTGATTCGAAATCTTCTTCAACTACACCTGCTTCGCTTTCGGTTGCGGATCTTATTTATTTGGAACGGGCCGTTAATCCATCTTCATCCCTTATTGATTACGAAAATTCTCCTAATATTGATGAATGTGAACCGGAATGGGTGAAAAAAATCGAAATGACCGTTGGCAGTAACCGAACTGAATCATTCTCTGTAAAATTTTTTTTAAAAGCTCACTCTGTTAAAAAAGCTTACCTCCTGACCACTGTTTTTTCAGTTATATTCTCACTTATTTTCTATAAAAAATAACTAAATTTTATGATAAGAAGAGCGCTACCAATGTAATAGTAATATTGTTATAAATATAAAAAATTTATTTTAATAGAATAACCACGCCCCTAATGCAAACAAACCATAACGCCCAAATTTCTTGGACGAAACGAAAATTTATTGATACACATTACCTTAAAGTTTTTTTTCTTATGAATTTATTTATTTTTATATTAAATATGCATGCAATATCCAAATGATTTAACATATTCCAATATAGTAACAAAATTTGGAAATTTTCGAATTTTAAAGGTGTTAAATGAAATTGCAAAATAAATAAGGATTAGATAAGGTAAGGAAGTTAAAATTTTTTATTCATCAGTAATTTTAGAGCAAAATAGATGAATTATGCCTACGTCCTGATGGTTCAAGGTCCGCAATATGGAATGAAAACGCTGTTGAATGTGCAAGTAAAGAGCTCTCATCGAATATGGTACCAAAATTTGACTTGGTTGAATTTCCAGCAGGCACTGATATAGAAAGAGCATTTGAAGAACGCGCTGAAAAGATTTTGACTTATTTGTTTGAGCGCGAAATGCTCGATAGTTCTAGGTACGTTTAATCAAATTGGTTCTCCTTTTGTGCTTATTATTTATCAATTGTTTAATATGTTTTTCAGTTTCTTCTGTGCTATTATGACTCTGACTTGTTTGTTTTCAGAATCTGCTGATCATGTTTAACATTAGTTTCAAATATCTTTTCAGTTGGTGGGACGTAATCTGGCCATTATGCCATCGAGTATCTTCACTTGTGAAAGTTGATGTTGAGGGCCGCAAGGACCATATCAATATTCTGAAATATGTCCATATTAAGAAATTATGTGTTGAAAATGCGAAACCCTCTGCTACGGTAAGTCGTTATTTTCAAATTAAAGTTTTTTCATTTTTTGTTTATTCTGACCTTCCTTTTATTATTTATTTCAATATCCTTGATGGATTTTGAACATAATAATTGACGAAATATTCTCCAGGTCATCGATGGAGTTGTCTGTAGTAAAAGTATTGCAAATAGAAATATGCCCTGTGAAGTACACAATGCAGCTGTATTGACTCTTGAAGGCAGTATTGAGTATGAAAGAGTTCACGATAAGCTTTCTTCTATTGATCCAATCATTATGCAAGTAATTTTAATTTTTTTTACTCTCAGTACTTTATGTAAATTTTTAAATTTTTTGAAATTTATAGCAAAAAACATTGGCAAATATTCAATTGAAGTTGTTTTAATTTGTCAAATATTTGTAGGAAACAGAATATTTGGGTAAACAAATTGAGCGTGTTCTTTCACATCGTCCATCTGTCGTCTTGGTTGAGCGAAATGTAACGAGAATAGCGGTGGATATGCTACTAAGTTCCCGAGTTACTCTTATTTGTAATATAAAAAAAAGTGTATTATATCGAGTAGCCCGCAGTACACTTGCTGATGTGATGCCTTCGCTAGATGCTCAGATCCTTAATCAAAAAATCGGATTTTGTCCACTTTTCAAACAGGAAACAGTTCGGCTATCCGATGGAAGCACTAAAAATCTCCTAGTAAATTTTTAAAAAGATTTTAATCATATCATTAAAGAGCGAGGTTACTGGAAAAAGCAATTTGAAATATTAAAAAAAATTTTGACTGTAGTTTTGATTTTTTGATTTGATCTTTTAAACGTCATTAATTTACGCTAAATTCATTCCTATGAAACTTTAGATTTTTTCTGATTGCCCTCCTGATTTGATGTGTTCTATCTTGTTACGCGGGAAATCTGAAAGGGAATTACGAGTAGCTAAGCGAATTCTTCGTTACGCGATCCTTATGCTTTACACGAATCGGCTTGAAATTGCATTAATGTCGAGTTTTGGTACCAAACTTATTCATCGATTTCCTGATTGTGTTGTTTGTCAGTTGAATCGAAATGAAGAAGATCCAGAGCCAGTTTGCTTTTTATTTGTATTTTCAATTTTATATCAAAATTACTATTAAGACTGATTCAGCTTAAAAATTTTCTTTCTATCTGTATCATTATGTGTTTTATTTATTACTCCTCTTTATTATCGAGTATTACCAGTGCTCATTTTAAATATGTATTTAGTTTATCTCCTTGTAATTTTATAAATCTCCCTGAAATTGTTTGTTTCTCCGTGGAATGTATGGAATGTATAGCAAGAAAAACTCATTTTTCGCCTCTAAATTATTTTCTTTGTTTTCCTTTTTATTTTTTTATGAAGTCTCTTAACTAAAAACAGTGCTTTTCTCTCATTAATGGAAGTTTAAATGATTGTCACGATTAAAAATAAAATAATTGCAGGAAAGTTTTTACAGTCGTTTAAAGGTAAGCACATTGTCGACCTCGCCTTTAATTGATTTCGGTGTTCCATTTCTTGAAACAGCCAAAGGTCGTAAATGTGTTCTTCGACCTTATTTCAAAAATCATCTATATCAGTATTCAAAGAAAGTAGATTCGATTGAAGCAAAGTATTTTATTTTAAAATCTATCGGCAATTCAACAATTTAACAATCTATCGGCTTTTGATTTGACAAATACACTGGAAAACATTGGCTGATAATATGATTTTTTTTTTTGTTTTGAATGAAGCTTTATTTAAGAAAAAATTATTAAGAAATTTAATGCGATACTTTTAAGATCAAAGCCAGCAGAATATGAAGAACCAGTGCAAAGAAAGGAATTACCTATGGCAAAGCAATGCAAAAATAAGATACAAAAATCTAACTATTGTCGCTTGAGATTAAATCGTGATGCCACTGGTATTGATTCCGATGCGATTGCTTCTTTTCGTGCCTTATCTGGGCGCGAATTCAGGAAACGTATATCAATCCAGAGATCACTGAAAAATGGGTTAGAAATCGGTTTAAATCGGTTTTTCTTGCTTTCTTTTTGAATCTTTTAGAATCATCTTACTATTTATTTTAATTTAAAATTTATATATTACTCAGTTTCTACAATATAGAGCTTTCTTAGGACCATAAAAGATTTGTCTGATCATTATTTTGGTATTGTTTACATACAATTCTTCAGAAGTTGTACTATTTTAGAAGAAATATAGAAGGTAGTTTATTGAAATTAATCCATTTAAAAATCTCATTTTTGACCGAAACTGGCTTTATTGACGATCTAATTTCTTTGTATTATAATAATCAGAATAATCGATATTAGGTTGTAATCCGTGTTTATTAAAATTTTAAGTTAACTTCAGAATCGAATGAACTCTTGGTTTTTAGTGAATCAGTCGATGATCACCAAACTGCTGTGGTACAAGATGTTTTTGATCCATTTATTCATCAGCGAATAGCAATACTTTTCGGTTCATTTTCATCAAAATCACCAAATGCCCCATTCTTTTGTGTTCGACCTTGGGTTTTACAGATGGAATTATATGGGGCGAATGATATGTGCTTGGGTGACTTCTTGCGTAGGTAATATTTCTTCGCCTAATATACAAATGATTCATTGCCTAAGTATTGTTTTTCCTATTATTTTGCATATTATATTTTCCATATTTTTCATTTCTCCTAATATATAAATTAATTAATATCCTAACTAGTTTATTTTTTATTTTTTTGTCCATTTTTTTGTCCATTTTGTCTCACAGAAATTACGTTTATAATATAAATTTTTAGATTCTGTTTTAATAAAACTTATTTGTGTTCTTCGGCGAATTGCGGTATACCTATGCTCGACCATGCTCGTAAAATGGTTTATCGTAATGTTTGCATTGAAATAACAACACAGAGTAGTGTTTATATTGATGAGAATGAAACAGCAACTCCGTCGAAGCCATATTCTGACCAGAATGTTCTGGTTGCATGGCATTATTGTCCCATGTAATCGGATTTTCATTTTTTCATTATAATCTCAGTAAATAGGATTTATTTCACCATTAGTAAATGTTTATTAGATTTTTTAAAAATGATAAATGGCAACGACGAAATTAAAAAATAATATTCTATAATATTTCATTTTGTAACTGTCAAAGTTTTCTTCATTTCCTTAATTTTTTGTTTTTTCTCAGTTGCAAAGCTTCATCACCTATCATTTCACTGAATGATGAAATCTGCCGTTTGAGCTTTGCGCGATATTTAGATTATCTAGCCAATGGATCATATGCTGTTTGCAATTTGGCTTCCTTCGAACGTGTTAGTTCAGTTAATTTTTAATTTAAATTTAATGAATTTTTCATGATAGGTTTTTTTTTCTTATTTGATTTAATATTGAACGGGGCATTTTTAAGAAATTTAAATTTTCTTTATTTCGATTTCTGTTGTTTTTTTTTTTTGTTTTTTTATCTCTTCGATCATAATCATTCTTTTTTTTATTTAAGATAAAATTTATTTTAAATAAAGTGATAAATCTCTAAGAACAGGCCAAATTTATAGGAATGTTGGCATTGTTGTCTGCATCAACACGACCGTTATTTTTCTTTAAATGGTTACGTGGCTTGCTTTAAAGTAAAGGCAGTAAGTTCTTAATAGTCATTAACTATATTCATTGAAATTATTGAAATTATTCATATTACTAAAACATTTTTTTAAATTGAAGATCCGTCTGTACAACGTAACATTCAGTCCAGTGGTTTGTACTGTTGAACCGTTAATTTGCACTCGTAAATTAATTATTGATGCACGCGATGAAATAATAACAACTGCGGAAATAATATTTGGTTTAATGTCTGTTCAATTAGAAAAATTAACCAAGGCCGCTGATTTCGTAAACTATTCGTCTTATCACTCTCTTCTATCAACAAAACTTCAAGATGCAAGAGAAAAATTTAAGTAAGTAATTTCAGTATATTTTTATTTTTTTGCGCCAGTTTTTAGGCTAATTCCATGTATCAAGAGAGATGATTCTTTGCGATGATAATCCATTTATTGGAACTAGTATAAGCCATATTAATTGTAAGTTTTGTGAATGATTTGGCATTCGTTTTTTTAACTGAATCGGTATGGAAAATATGTTCAGTTAAATCTTTGGTACGGGCGAAAAGAATTTTTCTTCATGCCCATTTGCTATTATTTCTTATTACTATATTTTCTTAGCAATTTTTCGAACTCTTACTGTTGCCCTTGTAGAAATGAACTACGAAATATTATAGAGCGTTAAACGAACAAAATGGGCATAAGTGGTGTGAAAAAGATGGATTTGGGAAATTTAAAACAGAATAAGGGAAAAATGAAAAATGATATTGCTAAATTATGGTGCATAAGGTTTTGTTGATGTCAAAGATCTGTTGCAATTTAAGGATTAGTTTGAAGGATGTTAAAGGGTTCCAATACTGGAGATTTCATTTACAATATAATGGATTTTAAAGAAATAACAAAGAGTAACTATTAGTATATTATAGTATTATAATACTATAATTCATCTTATAAGTTCATATAACATAAGAGAATTAAGAAGTTTTGCTATTAATAAAGGAATACGGCTCAGTTTGTTAGGGCCTTAAAAGTGACCTTGGAGGTGTAATATGATGTAATAGCATCATGCAAGACCATTTAAGATTGTGTTACTGGTGAGGTGTAGAGCAAATTAGCAACTTTGATGAAGTTCTAGTTGGATGTAGCAGTGTTTTCAGAAGCTGGGTATAGAAAATTCTGAGATTTTTAAGGAGTTTCGTGGAGTTCGAAAAGTTTGTAAAGAAAATATTGACGAGTTGAGACAAGAGAATTGGGGCGTAGGGATGTTCAGAAGAAAGTAGCTGGATTTATTAGTAGATTATGACAGTATTTAACGAGATTTTCATAAATTATTTGATTTTAGGGCAAGTAGATGAGTTTTTTTTTTCGGAGGTGTACACCGCAGATTATGCAGATTATTTCAGCCTTGCTATCGATGAATTTGATCCAAAAAATAATTTGCAAGGCGATTTATTAACAATTCGTTCCAATGATGCGATCTATATTCAGGTTTTCATTTAAAAGATTATTTTTTGAATTTCATTAACTTTTTGAATTCGTCTCCATATTTTAATTTTCATGGAAAGCCAATTCTTTAGCATTTTTTCAAAAAAAATTCTGAAATTTTTAGCATTCTCTTACGGAAATTCAATGCATAATATTCGAGTACATTTTAATAACTGGTTGTTTTAAGGCGATGGATTCAGTACATGCATGCCGATACATTATACAACATATGATTAATGAGTGGAATGAAGAAAGCAATCGCTTATCTAATTTTCTTCGGATGATTAAGAAATCGCAAGTCAATGGAAGCAATCCTCAACACATTATTCCCGTTACTGTTTCATCTGCTCATGTGGATACGATTGCTGTAGGTTTTAAGTTTATATGATTATCAGTCGCTATAATTTAGGTTGTTCTTTTATTAATAAAATTTTTCATATGTTAACATTGCAGATGATAGCATCAGCATTAATTGTTCTTTCACTCTTTTTTATTTATATTTCAAATCAGTCGATTCTACAGGAGAGCAGCGCTCGAAGTTTGATGGACGATTTAAGTGGTACTACAAATGATATTGAACTAAAGCCGATTGACACCCCATTTTCGTCGCAACTTCATTTGAGCCTTCCTAAACCAATTTGTTGGTTTTATGATATAATTTGATGTCGTTTAAAGATATTCAAATATATTTCCAAAATTTTCTTTTTTTAGCTCGTCTTTCATCGATCGTTGTGAAAGATTTAATAGATCAGAAAGGAATATCTCATCCCGATATTGGATCGATTATAGCATATGCCATATCATCCAGTGAATATGATAACAAATATCGTAAACTTCGTGAGATGAGTTTTTCGAATGAAATTTCATCATCCAGGTATTCTCAATTCATTTTTTATTTTTACCGATATTTTTTTTGTTTTATATGTGGTACTTGGAACGACAATTCCATATAGCTGGCTTTTTTTTTTAGTGTGGTTCAACTCTTTCATACCAAGTACCATATAAAATGAGCACATAGATCACATAGAATCGCTTTCTGTAGAAGAAGCAAGAATCATCCATAGTAGTTGAAATGAGATGTTACAATGATTATTATATGCCATCAGTTATTTTCACAGAATTTTCAATTCTTATTATTTTCATTTATTCATAGATTGGGCATAGCTGATTTGAATGCTCCTAATAACAACGATCATATTGAATTAGATTTCGGTGATGAACGAGCTCAATATTATGTTAAGGTTTATAGTGTTCTATTTAATTTTTAATTCTTTATAAATTACTAGCGCAAGTTCGGGCAGTTATTGTCATTTGTTCATCATATTTGATTGGATGAAAATTTTATCCATATTCTTGACATTGGTTGAATAACTAACTATCATTATTTTCTATATGTTTATGTGAAATATGTTTTAGGCAAGTAAATATGGGTTATTATAGGTTTATTACGCAGAGCGATTCCATACATTGCGCAAATTACTTTTTATTGAGGGAGAAAATTGCTTTTTACATTCGCTATCAAATTCACAAAAATGGAATCCACAAGGAGGAAAGTCTGGTGCATCCTTTTATCGCACACAGGTTTAATTTTTTGGTTTTTTTCCAGTTTTTTTATCTTTTATTTTATTTGTTTACTTCCATTTTAATCCATTTTAATGAATATTTCTTGATCGCTGATATCGTTATATTTTGAAAAATTTAATTGCAAGCTATTGGTTAAGGATAATCGATTTGTTTTTAAACAAATGTCGCGCTTTGAAATCCAGTCTTTTGTGAAATTTGCTCCTAATTATTTCAATTATGTATCTACGGCGGTTACTGAAAATAAATTAACAACACTTTGTAAGGTAAAACTGATATTTTATTAATATATCGAATTGATTCTTATTGATATCTTCTTTAAATAGCAGTGCTATTCTTTGATTTTATAAATTTAAAATATATTTAATTTTCTACTTGATTTTTTATTAGGTTTATGGCGTTTTCCGTCTCGGTTATAAAAATAAATTAAATGGTTTGCAATTGAAAATTGACTTGTTGGTTATGGAATATTTATTTTATAATCGAAATGTTAAGCAAGTATGGGATTTAAAAGGGTCGCAGAGAAATCGGTATTTTCATTTTTTCTTTATTCACTGTGCGAAAAATTTTTAAAATTTTAGCATATTTTTTTAATAATCATTTACATTAAAATGATTGATAACAATCTCACATAAGCAAGTTGGGCTTCTTAGTTTAATCAAAGCTCAATAATTTTGCAAACCTATAATATTTCAAGTTTGTATCGACCGAATTTTTTTAGCATGGCGAGTGAAGGTAAAAGAACAACTGATCTCGTTTTACTTGATGAAAACTTATCGAAAGACTTATGGAATAATCAATTATACGTGCATCCTCATTCTAAAGCCGCTCTTAATATGGCAATAAGCAATGATAGCCATTTTCTTTCAGCTCAGGTGCTTAAATTTTGAATCGAATCAAAAATTTTCTATAATTGCTCTTGTAAGAGTCATCTGTTTCAGCATATAATGGACTATAGTTTGTTAGTTGGTGTCGACGATGTTAATAACGAATTAATACTGGGCATAGTTGATTATATGCGAACGTATACATTGGATAAAAAGTTGGAAAGTTGGGTAAAAATAGTAGCCATACCTGGTCCACATTTACCAACAGTTATATCACCAGAGATGTATTGTACTAGATTTTCGGATGCTATTGATACTTATTTCCCAGTAGCGCCTGATCAATGGACTGGATTATCTCTATCATATTAAAACAGAAATTCTCAAGGAATAAAAAATGATGTGCAATTTTACTACCTCCTATATTTAATTTCATTCCTTAACGCAATTTATTTCACTTTTTTTTGAATTTTTTTTTTTTATTGATGTAATAAGATGCACCAATTTTGGTTTGGCTAACTCCTCTAATAATTTGGATGAGATATTTCCAAGTCTTTCGGTCAGGCATCAAATAATTAAATAATTTCTTAAATCGTTTTATTCTTTAAACTTATTCTGTAATTTATTTTTAGATTTAGATTTTTAGATTTTTAATTATTTAATTAATTTTTAATTAATCATTAAAATTGGTGCTTTTTTCTTTTCGGGATTTATTTCTATTTTTGCTTAATATTCATAATTTTGCTTCACAATAATGATTTAAACGATTTTTGGGATTAAATTTGTAGAATTGCTATATAATAATGAGTTAAAGGTGGTTACAATTTGAAATTTCTTTTGCTATTGAAAGAAATTATCATGTATCGTAGAAATTAAGCCAGAATATTTTATATCTTTGCGCATTTGGTTGTAATAATAATAATAATTATTATTAATTATATATGCATGAAAATATTGATAATGATCGTATTGATAATGATAATGATCATAACTCGTCACATCGTATAAGTATATTTATTTATTGCCTTTAATTTTTTTCAACTGTGATAGTTTCTCTTCCAGATGTTTTTTTTTTAAATATGAATATGAATAAAAAATATTTTTGCAATATTTCTAATATTTTTCAAATTTCGTCTTTTTATCGAAATATTTTTTGCTTTTTGATTTTTTTCTATTAATCATTCGAGAGTATTTTCATTCTCACATTTTTATATAAATATCGTTTACATATTGTTTATTTCTTATTTCATTATTTTACTAATGAATTGGAAAGCTGTGCTATTGATATTCGACGGTGGGGGCGGAGTTTGTCTTGTGATGTGCAGTTATATATTCTAGCTTTTGGTCTCTTCTCATCGAACCAATGATTTTATTCGCTCAGCCCAGGGTTCGAGCATTCGGGGTTTTATTATCACCTGAATTGTGGGTCTTGGTTACTAAATATCTTGTCTTTGCGCATTTGGTTGTAATATATTATTAATATATATGTATGAAAATATTGATAATGATCGTATTGATAATGATAATGATCATGACTTGTCATCTTAGCCATGTGTATTTAAGCGTTTTTTTGGTTCTTCGTATAGTTTTTTGCTCATTATTGGTTATTTGCGATCTAAACTATAGTACCATATTAACCATAAATTAACCATAAATCAGTTGCAACCTTTTTTTTTGTTCTAAGAACGGCCACTGTTTCGGTTTCGGCTCCTTCAGATGGGTAAATTTGCCAGTCATTTGGCGATGGAAAGAGCCAAATTCAGTCATAAATTTCAGATAATGGTTGTAATCGTAACCATAAGTAGTAATTTAATAATTAATTATAATTGAATAATTATTTTTGTAATTAAATCATGGTTATAAAATCAAATTTAAGGGGATTTTAAAATATTAGTATTAATAATTGATATAATAAGCCAATGGGTAGTGATAATCTATAAATGCGCGAATACAAAAATAATGGAGTAAAAATAGATGTTAAATATTTTTAAATATATAAATAATAGTTAATTTGCTAATGAATTGCCTTCTTCTTGCAATATATTTAAATATCAGTTTTTTTATTTTATAGGAAACGAGATTTCCAGTTGATTTCATTGCAACATTGAAACTTTTTAAATTATAAATTTTAAATTATAAAATATGGACCGCTTAAAGCGAAAAAAGGTTTGATTTATTTCAATCATTTTTGTTAATTAATTGATCTAAAATTAATCTTTTTTATCTTTTTGTTTTAATTAATCAAAATTGCTATTGCTTCTTTGAATTTTTTTCTATTTTTGGGAAGTTGTATATAAACGGAGAGGGTTGCTATATTTTTTTTTTTTTGAGATTCATTTTGTTTATTATAAAAATTTTTTAATCGATTATTTAAGAAGGAAGAAGAAGAAGCAATGTTAACTAAAGCCTATGAACAATTTCGCGAAGCATTTGAAGATTCTCCGAGTACAGCTGGTGGAAAATCATTTATACGTGGTGCTGTTGTAAACGCTAATAAAGTTGTCGAAGGTATAAATTGCAAAAAATTTTAGTTTCCTTATCAAATCATTTTTTCATTTTTCTTGACAATATTTTTGAGCAAAAATTTATAGATATTAACAATGAAATGAAATTAAATTACTATGTAAAAAAAATAATTAAATTTTTTCATTTATTTTCTATTTTAATTTAAAAGTTTTGTGATTTATCATTTTTCATTATTTCTTTTATTAAATTTCTATAAATCCATCATTCTCATAACTGCATTACGAAATAATATATGCTATTTTTTTAAAATACAGAATCAAATAAAAACGCATCTGTATATAAACCGAAGGTTGACCTAATCAAAAAGCCAGTAACTGCGAATTCATTCGAACAAGCGAAAAAGATTGCCGAAGAAAAAGCGCGTCGAATGATGGAGGAAGCTCGAAAGTCAAATCCAACGGTTGCTCGACCACCTCGACCAGGCAAGGTTCAGCCGAAGAGTCGCACTAGCAATCTAGAAGCATTCAAAGAAGAATTGAAGAGGTTTTTGTTGCTTTTTAATATTTTCAAAATTTTCTTATTGCCTGTATGCTGGTAATTTTTTAGTATGCAAGAGGAACGAGAACAGCGTCGAACGCTTCGTTCACAAATGGAAATGATGGGTGTAGAAAAAGAAGTACTTGATCGCATTGCTCCACTGATCGACAATCCATATCTGCATGGCACTGGTGAATATGATAACGATCCAAATACAACAAATATCTATGTTTCTAATCTCTCTCTCGATGTATGTGCGCTTTTATCGAAAATTGTGCTTATTCAATTTTATTTAAAAAAATTGAATAAGTTTTGAATCGAGCCTGGAAGATGTAAATTATTTCCAGAGAATGCTTATGCAATATTATGCAAATATTATGCAAAATAGGTTAATGAAATAGCAACCAGCAGCTTAATGAAAAAATTTGATAACAAAAAATAAATTGTGGAGCTGAAAAATCATTGGACGAATTTGGTTAAAAAATGATTGTGTAAAAGGATAATTTATTTTTTAGATTAAAATCGAAGATCTTTACAATACTTTTGGTACTTTTGGTCCTTTAGCGTCTGCGAAAATCCATTTTCCTCGGGAGGAAGAACGTAAACGAGATCATTTATGTGGTTTCATCGCATATATGGTGCGTAAGGATACTGATCGCGCAATGGCTGGAATGCAAGGGCAAATTATCAAAGGTTGCGAAGTTAGATTGTCGTTAGCGAAACCTGTAAATATTCCGAGCCAGGTCTGTGAATTTTTTTAAATTTTTATATTACGTAATAAAATATTTTTATAAAAGTTGTGCTTTTGGCTAATTTTACAAAATATTTCAGCCTGTTTATGTGCCACCAGCCCTGGCCGAGTTTGCTATGCCCGATCCACCTACTGGCTTGCCATTTAATGCTAAACCGAAGAAAGAAGATCTAGATGCGGTTATGGCTAAATGTCATCTACCTCGACCTGGCGATCCTCCTCCTGAGCCCGGTAATGGCAAAGAAGAATATGACAAGGTAATATTCCATTTGTATTTTAATTTAAATATTTGTCGTGATTGCTGCTAAATCATTCCAAAATGGCTAAAAAAATATGCGATGGCTAGTTCAACCCAACTAGTTCATATACAAAATTGAAACCACTTTGTTGTGCGGATTACATGGCGAGATATTGTGAATATCCTTCAAGAGTAATTTTTTTTCCCATCTTCATAACAATAAACATTTTTAAACGATTAATTTATTCATGATTAGCTAGTTAATAAATGAAATTATACATATATGAATGTGTATGTTTCTGTAGATGCTCAGGAACGCCGTCGTGCGCGTAGTGGTCCCCACAGAAAGGTACTTGATTGATTTCATATTGTCATCACACTCGATCTTTGGTTTGTCGTTTATCAAATTCAGCAAATACAACGGATTTACAGTCACAAGATATAGCATATGTCTGTCGAAATATAGGCACTATATGTCGACCTGAAATTTTAGTGTCTTCGTCTTTTCTGAGTCTATCCTATCAGTTATTATTAATCGTGCAAAGTTACATAGGGAATGAGAAATGTTGTAATAGCTGTAATATTATGCGTTATATGCGCATCGTTATCATCTATTACATTCATGCACATGGAAATAACGCAGAAAATCAAAAAAATTGGAAATCGAAAATTGCGTTCGGACTAATTTTATGCTCTTTTTACTATGAAATTCAAATTTTAGTCTTTAAATTTTTTTGGGATTTTTGAATTTTGGATAGATTATTTTCGAATCATAAGTAATCAGTGATTAAGTGGTTAAAGAAACAGGCTTTTTGATTTAGATAATTGGTGCCCTACCATTGTAATATTAATTTTAATCATAATATAATATGGCCTATATTTATATCTTTTATGTACCCTATTAGTATTTTCCAATTCAGTTTTAACTCACATTCATATATAGGCACTTTTCGATAGAAATAATAGTAGGAGGATTTTTGATGGAAGTTTTTATTTTACTTTTTTAAATTTTTCTAGCGCTTTTTATCCGGTTAGGCGAATATAATGATAGATTGTTTTTCTGCTTATATTCCAGCTTCATGGGTAATCTTTACTTTTTTTTGTTTAGTTTTTAAAATTTGCTCAGTATCATTTAAATGGTAGTATTTTGAATTATGAAAAGTATGAAAAATGGGAAATACGGGAACGTATATTTTTATTGTTCGTTTTCTCAGAATAATATGAAAATGTGTGAGAACACTTTATTTAGAAGTCTTCTGGCGATCATACATCGAATGATTGAATTTATAATACGAGAAGGACCACTTTTTGAAGCGATGTTAATGACTCGTGAACGGCATAATCCCCTTTATAGGTATCCTTCTATTCAATTTTGATAGAATAGATATCTTGCATTGAAAAAATGGTTCCCACAATGCAACATTTAAGATTTTTGTTTGATAACCACCATCCTGCTCATGTATATTATCGATGGAAATTATTTTCAATGCTACAAGGCGATAGCACTCAAAGTTGGCATTTAAAAAAGTTTCGTATGTTTGATGAGGGAAGCTGGTGGCAACCTCCACCGATGGATTTAATGCGATCTGGTATGCCGAAATGTTTATACCATACAGCGTATAAAGGAAGTGAACCCCCTGTTAAAACAGCCGTTAGTTATTTATATTTTTCTTACAATTTATTTGTTTTGGATCTAAATTGTCTCGACAATTTATTTTTTATTTTTCTAGTTTTAAATTCAGAATTCATTTTCTGCTTAATTAAATTGAACCTGACAGAAAATGTCGGAAAATCTAATTAGTCTATAGGAATATTCTACATATTTTCTGGAAATACATTAAAAATTTTTTATTCTAGCCAAAAGTGCGAAAGCGGAAATATACCAGCAGTGAAGAAGAGGATGAAGATAGAAAAGCTGAAGTAAAAGCGAAATGGCGTGGCGTACTCAGCACAGCGGAACGAGATCAGCTAGAGGTTTTCTTCATTAGCTTGAAATGTTTAATTTTTTTTTTAATTTTGATACTCTCGCAAGGAGAATGTATTTGTGTTGTTCAATTGTTTGTTGAAAGCAAAAGTTTGTTCAAAGCAAAAATTTTTTCATTGCTGAAAATTATACTAAAATTCTCTAAAATAAAACTCTTAACTTGCATTTGATTAACTGTGCGTCGTCATTTCTTCATGGCATAATGAAATTTTGTCAAGGATATACTACGAGGGTTACTGCCAGAAAAAATGTCAATTGCTGATGCAATGGTTTGGTGTGCTGACCATGCAAGTTGTGCCAAAGAAATTACGCAATGCTTATATGAATCGCTTACCATAGATGAAACACCACTGCATAAAAAGGTATTTGTTGGCAAGGATTTTCCACATTGGATTGTTGAAATAAAGTCAAAAAATTAACATTAAAATTAACATTAACATTAATATTTATTTTTTTGATAATTTCTGGTAATTTTTATTATTCATTTTTTTCTCATTTTTATTAAGATTTTTCATTTAAGATTGCTCGTCTTTATTTAATTTCTGATATATTAGCGAATTGCGCAGCGCGCGTTCGTGATGTCTTTTATTATCGGCAATACATCGGTGATTTATTGTCAGATATCTTTAAGGTTATTCATCTCTTTACAGATCAAATAATTTAAAATTTTGTTGTGAGAAATGAACAAAGTGCAGTAAAAAATTTATATGTTTATTACAAAAAAAAAATTTGCATTTAAAATTTGCATCTATGTGTGATTTTTTTTCAAAATTTTCATTTTATATTTCGGATTTTTCAGAAATAGTACGCATCGCATATTATAAAATTTTAATTTAACTATTTCTAAGCAGATTTGGCTATTTTTTTGCAAGAACAAATTTTCTAGGAATTGAATAAAACGTATGAATCGATAGAAGGACGTTTGAAAGCTGAACAGTTCAAACAGCGTGTTATGTTATGTTTTCGAACGTGGGAAGACAATTCTATTTATCCGACTGAATTCCTTATACAGCTTCAGAATTTGTTTCTTGGACTTATGGTATGTTCCTTTATTATAACGTATGTATTCATACTATGAAGAAAAACTAGTATACCGTGAAAAATGTAAGTTTAAAGCAAGTAAATTTAATATTTATAGAAATATTAAAGTAAGTTTAATATTTAAAGTAAGGTTTAAAGTAAGTTTAATATTTATTAATATTAATATTTTCTTATACTTATTTTTTATCGGTTTTTTCAAAACTATTTCATACGTATCTCAGTTTTTTATTTCGGACGTTAAATATAGAAAGAAGAGAACGGTTCTGATGAAGATATTGATGGCGCACCAATTGATGAGAATATGGAACAAGGAACTTGTAAGAAAGAATCCATATTCGATGATGACGATGATGATAATGATGTTGATGAAGATATCGATGGTGTTCCAATGGAAGAAAGTGTTGCTGAAGAGAAACCCGCCCCTAAAAAAGTTGCTGCGTTCAAAACAAGTCAATGGAATACGGTTAATCTTTATTTATTAGGCCATGAGAAGCTTGGTAATTTTCTGTTCCTGTTGCATGAATTTTATTGTTTATTGATTAAAACTATTAATTAGGTTGATCCATCCGTGGTAGCAAGTCAGGCAGTGACAACGAGCAAATGGGATTTGTTGGAAAATGGTAAAGATGATGAGGACGATGAAATGGGTGAACTGAAAGATTCAGAAGATATCGATGGCGCACCTATAGATGACGATAATCCATGTAGTGAGGATGGTGAATGCCCTGACGATGATGAAGATGATGATTACATGCAGTAAGTATAATATTTTTAAGTGCAGTTTTTTTTGATTTTAAAAATAAATTTAATCTAAAATATAATCCTTAGATTCTTTTTACTCTTTTGACATTCTAGCGAGAGAACTTCATGGTTCTTCATTATTTTAAATTTGATTCTGAAACCAATAGTTTTTTTGTTTCCTCAGTTTTCAATGCATCTGTTATTCTATAAAATTTTGCTGTACTTAAATGATTTTCTAGAGCGGAATCAAGTGCGCAGAAATCAATGAGTATATCATCAATGAAACTTGATGAAGAACGGCGTAAAATATTGCGTGAAATTGAAGTGATTAATACTATATTTTTTTTGTGTTGCTGTATGCCAAATTATTATAGCTTTTAATTAAAACTTATTTTATTGGTAAAAATTTAGGTAAAAGTTGTTAAATATCAAGATGAATTAGAACAGGAACATTCTGGTGATGTTGTTGTTCAAGTGGAAAAATACCGTGCATCGCTACTGAAGAAAATGGAGGAAAAATTGGATTATCTAAATGATTTTAAAGATAAAAAGAAAAAGACGAAAGATCGAAGGTATTAAAATGATATAATTCTAGAAGATTAAAAAAATTTAAATTTAAAAAGAAAATTTTTTAATTGTTTGCAGGTCAAGAAGTAGAAAATTAGAAGATGTTAAAGAAGATAGAAACAGCAGAGCGAAATTTAGAAGTGAAAATGAAAGAATTCGAGATAGAGATCGTGTTGATATGGATAAAAGCAGAGATCGGGTGAGTTTTGCATTTATGTTTTTTGTATGTCGTGGAATTATAGAATCAAAAGAGCGGATCAGAAAAAGTCGTTAAAAGTCAATTTTTTTGACTTTTGAAATTGCAGTTCTTGCAGGTTCTTTTTCTAATATTTTCTTATATATATTTAATAAATATTTTTAAATATTTTAATTAAATATTTTTCTCAAGAAGTTTAATTTTAACTTTCTGATAATTATTCAAAATTCGATGTGTTATCTTGATATTGTTACCAATAATTTTTCCTTAATAATCTCCAATTTTCGCTCTATATTCGTTCAGTTTTCTAATCATTTTCTAATCATCGCCATGCTGTATTTTATAATTTTATAATCCGTAACATAGAATAGGTTTTTTTGTAAATTATTTATGGCCAAAGAACTTAGCGAGACTTTGAAGAGGAGAATATTTAACTTCGTGGGGATTTTCACAAAATAAGCCAAGCTTTATGAGATGTATGAAGTTAACATGGTAGGATAAGATTTTGTGGCAACTGATTATAACAAAAAAATAAAGTGGTATTGCACCTTAGCGACATCCAGCTGAGTTAATATAATATAAAGGAGCTTAAGGTGATGGATAGACTTTGGACAGTTGGATAGACAGTTTGTTTAAGTGAAACACTGGACATCTGTTATTTCCTACTTTTAACAAAAGAACAATATATTTTGGTGGTGTGTTGAAAGGTCAAGAGGATTTTGGAATTAAGTGAAGCAGCAATAAACTCTAAGGGACTTGAGAGACTATAATGGTACCAAAGAGTATAAGGTGGTATAAAGATTTAAAATGCTGTTACAGATGAATTCTTTGGAGCATTACGTGGGCTCAGTGGAATTTCTGAGAATGCTAATGTTGTGTAACAGGTTTTGGGGAAGTGGTGACAGGTTTTGGAAGGCAAAGGTTATGCCCAATCTAGAGGACATTGATGAGCCAGATGAAAAAAATCATTAGGATTTGACAGGATTTTAATGAAAAATGATCGGATTTAAGAAATATTCAACCGATTTATTTTATTCTTGGAAAAATTGGAGACTTTTGACAGTTTTTGCAAGTTTAAAATTTAAAAATTTCAGAGAAAATTGGTGAGAACTTTTCTCCACAGCATTCCATCAGCCTATGCAAACTTATAAATCTAATAATTTTTATTATAATTTTATAATATAATTTTTTTTACACGAATCTTATTCTTATTATATAAATTTTAGGATCGCGGCGGTCGCGACAAAATGCGTGTTCGTGAGCGATCAAGGTCAAAGTCAAGGTATTCATTTACACTATCCATAAATACGATTTTATAATTCAGTTTAGTTACAATTTAGTAATTATAATTTAATTAATTTAATTTTGCACAATCAACTGAATATAAATATATTGAATATAAATTTACTAGCATTCATAGTAGTCTTTTTAGAGATCGACGTTATCGACGTGAAAAGACTCCTGAAAGGAGAAGACGATGACCACGATCTTTATTTTATTTTATATAGAACAGTATAAAATTTTGTTTTAAAGAATATTATTGTTTGTTTGTTTTCATGAATTGTTCCATTTGACTTTTTTTTGAATTTGTTATTTAAATTTAAATTTATGAGAATAATTGTTATCGTTAATGTTGGTTTTGACACAAGAAATTTTAATTAAATTAAATGTTTCGTATCCGCCAAGTAATTTTAACTATTTTGCTTGATTACTTTAGGCTGTCCGTGGAACTTTGAAGTTTTTTGCAGACTATGGAAATTCTATAACATTATAGTATTTATTTACGGTTAGGCCACTTATAATCAAAAATCTGTAATGCATTGAATAACAACTATTTGTGTATAATGTAATGCCGTCTCTCTTGGTTGAAAAAATTTTCATCTTTTAATTCTTAGCTCTTTGATATCTTTAATGCATAAAATTGCATATAATTTAATCGAAGATTTCTTCTTTTTAGAAAATATTTTAATATTTATAAAAATAAGGAATCAGAGTTTTCTTTTGGATATATCGCAGTGCAACGTTATTCGATGAGGTCAATCGTTGCTATAGCGATCGTTGCTACGGAAGAAATAAACGAGCGCTTATTGCTGTTTCCCCTCTATTCATTTGCATATTTTTAAAGGGTATTTTCTGTTTATAAATCTTTCTGAATTCTTTATTTAATTTTATTTAATGAATTTTGCGATTAAAAAAAAATCTTTGTAAATTTTTTGACGACGTTTCAGTTAATTTTAAGTTTTTTTTGACGATATTTCAGTTAATTTAACTCGAAATCTGAAAAACTTATTGATATTTGATATAAATTTTTATATAAATATATAAGGTATAGTAAAAAATCGTACAAAAGAAGACGTGAAGGACGTTCATTAAGATTGTGGAATATTTCTTTTCTATTTCCTTATGCCGGAATTAGCTTTCAATTCGTTGGAAAATAAAGCTTAAAAAGCTTAAAGCTTAAAACTTCTTCATTTTTATATAAGCCATAAAAGAAAGATTTGTAAATGAATTTGTTGGTTGAAATTATATGAAAATATATGAAAAGCAGCTATTGCCCAATATTAGTGTATAATTTATAATAATAAATTTTATTAGTAGTTTATTCGAATAAGCCAAAAACGAAAGTCATACAATAAAATAAAATTAATAGGATTTTAAAGCTTTTACGAAACAATTGAACGAATTTTATACAAAATGAACAAATTAGGTCGATTATACTCTCCGATCTATACTAATCTAAATAGATAGCGATTTATAGTAGTATTGCAAATTAGGTCATATAATATACCACTAAGCCAATGCTCGAACTCTTCAAACTCAATAAATAGAACAATAAATCAGAATAAACGGGAAAAAAGAATGAAGAGCCTCTCGAACGAAATATTACTCGATTCGTATTTCCGCAAAAATGGCATTGGATTTATTCTTCCATAATTTTATTAATCGATTTAACCCCTATTTTATATATTGGCAAATCAGTCGATATTTACAAAAAAAAAAATGGCGATTTATTGTGATTTATTGAAAATTTTATGGGTCATTTTATAATCAGTTGTTTTTTGGTTTGGTTTGGTTTGGTTGTGGTGCAAACGAGTGGTAATGCGTCAGATTCGTCGTTCACAACTCTCAAACTATTATAAAACTATCAATTGTGCTCACCTAAATTTCTATTACTATGACTATGACTCTTATTGACTTCAGTGACTTAGAAGTATCTCCAAAAGAATGAATAAAAAACCTGAAATGACTTATGATAGGGATTACGAAGTTAAATCTGAAAAAAAAAAACTCCCCTAGCTAGATAAAGGTTATTTTTTATTAGACAAATAGTATTTAACAGCCGGCAATTAGAATTTAAATTTTATTTCTCCAATTGTGGAGAGTTGATTTTCCTATTCCCCGTTAGCTAATAATTTATCATAATTTATCATTATTATAAAATTATCATCGCTGATAATTATCATTACTTTGCTAATAATTATCATTATTCATGAATCATAATTATCTCAATTTCTTCCTCAATTCTATTTTTCATTTTCACTCGCTTATCAATTTAAAATTTATTAAAATTGGAATTTTTGTTATAAAAAATTTTTTCATATATTCGAAAAAATTCATTAGTTCCATTCATTTTCGACAGATTTTATAGATTTTAAAGTTTTTTTACTTTTATTTTTTCACTTAATATGGATGGTTATTTCGCGATTATAATTTTTCAAATATGGAATGGCTTAATTGATTTGCTATTTTCATTTCGAAGCGTCGATACTAGGAAAAAAGAATGAAGAGTGAATGAATTGAAGTGAATGAAATGAAAGAGTGAATGAAAAAGAATGAATTCCATCACTTTCAATAGAAATGAATTTGTCCTTCAAAAATATTGGAAAAATTCTGGCGAGACCAATCTGTTCTTTTTCAAATTTTCAAATGATTCCCCTACCAAAATTTTTTTCTTTTTTGGTCCAATGAAACGCTAGCAACGAGCTTAACTAGAAATGATGAGTGAAAATGGTCAACAGAAAAAACGCTTCAAAGAATTACTAATATAAAATTTTCGATCCCCGCAGGAGTAATCTTATTTAAAATCCGCTGGTGACTCACCTGTATTTCTATTACCTCTCAAAGAACTCTCTGGCATATTTGTCCAGTGCGAGAAGCCAGCGGAGCGGGTTTAACCTGTAATGGTGTGAACTTTTTAAAAAAAAAAACAAATATATTTTATTTTTTTTTGCAGGTAATATGATATAATGGTTCAACAGGAAGAGCCAATAGATCTTTCGAAAATCTTCACTGACATTTCACAAACAATGAATGGTGTACGATCATTTTTTTCATCAAAAGATCAACCATACCAAACAACCATAAACGACCATTCAGCCTCATCTCCTATTTCATCGCTATTTTCCTCAAATGGTTGCTTCAAAGCATGTGGCATGGAAGATATTCAATTTGCGGCCAAGGTTCATTATTTGCTTTTTTTTTTAGAAACCCAAATAAATAAATGTTTGTTTGTTTATTTTGTACAAAGAATGCTGAGCTGAACAAGGCGATAAATTTTTTTTTAATAATAATAAATTTAAAATAAAAAAAAGAATTATTAGATGTAAATAAGTGGGAGTCACATGGAAATGAAGGATTTTCTTAATGACTCTCCGAACTACTAACACTCGAGGCAAGCAAAGAGTTACGTGTGGATAAAGGGGGATCTTCTTAATGGCAATTGCGAAGCTCTAACGCTCAAGACGATGAGATCTAAGCAATAACCTGTTCGATAGGTGGCTAAAAATAGAATAATCTGTTATATAAACGCACAGTAAAACAAATAATCTAACAGAAAAGAATAATCTAGTTATAGCTTCGAGTTCGAATAAAAATATAATTTTTATTTGATACTAGTTCATCATCGAATTCACTACGATATATTTTATATAATTGTTGGATAATTTAACGAATTAAAATAAAATTTATTTTTAGAAAGCCAGTGAATTATTTGTAACATTACGGGTCTCAGCGATAGTATTAACAATACTTACAAGTATATGTATGGTACTAATTGTTGCCGCACTTATTTGGTATTTGATATGCTCAGGTCGATTATTATTTACAAATCCGTTTCCATGCTCGTCACCAACATCGTTCAGTCAACAAGAGCTGATCGCTAGAAGAGCTAAGGATTCTATAGGAACGAATACAATGACTTAATAGATTTATGGATCAACCTTGGCTTATGGAACTATCTTATCGCTTTATCGAAAAATTCTCAACTATTTCAACGGAATTTTACTAAAACTATCAAATCGTTGCACTAATCGCTTGTTATTTCGATATTCTTTGTTATTTATTATTATTTTCTGTTTTTTTTCATAAAAATTTTGAAAAATATTAATTTGTATACTGAAAAAAAAAGCATTTTATTCATCATCGAAGTAATAAGACAGTATCGAAAAGAATATTATTGGAATGTGGTTGTTTTGGCTGAAGATAATGCTTATCACTATAGATTATCAAACAGATTATCAATTATCAAACCTTTATGACCCTTGTAACAAGCCTCTTATTAAAATCAAAACTGGACAACCTTTGGAGAATCGCTCCTATACTCTTCTCAATTAACTCTCCTCCGACGAAAAACATATCGCATCGGTGAATATTTCTCTTTAAAAAGAAGCGAAAGAAGATAAGAAAGATAAAAATTATACTCTAAAGTTCATAAATTAAAGCGAGAATTTCAATATTTTCCAATATTTACAATGAATTAAATCCTATAAAAACTATGATAAATGATAAACGAAATCAAATCTAGCATAATCTAATCTAAATAAACCAAGTTTAGAAACGAATTTCCACACGAAAAGATGAACTAACCCAACCTAGGGGTCAAGGGTCACAATTGCCCTCTAACACTAGTACCTCAGTAGCATCACCACATCTAATTTCAAATGCATTTAATTCATAACAAAATAGCTTGCAATAAACAACTTATTGCGGATAATCTGATTTTTAAATGTTTCTTAATCTCGGTTAGCAGTCGTTCAACCACATTACTAATTGTCGGACTGATCCTGAAGAGGTTAACCGGCGGGAAACGAGTCATAGATTTTCTAAGAATTTGGGAATTGCATTAATCGAGGTTTAGCTTCATGCGATTTGCGCGATCGTGTTAATTAGAATTAGTCGCTTTAAAGTATAAAAATATACTAACAAAGAATAAAAATATTGTTGTCATCGTTTTTCTTCAGAAGTTTGCTTAATATACGCAACGCTGCTAATGAGGAAATATATATCGGCGAAACGTCGAGAAAATTTCATCAAATAAAAATTATTTTTCGTAAATTTTCTTATTTAAGCGATTTATTCGCGACGTTTTATTCTTTTTCTCAATGTTTTTTTCTACTCTAATAAAATTGTTTAAATTTTTTTTTGAAAAAATAGTGCATTTTATTTTTTTTTTATTATTCATTATTATTAATTATTCATAAGTTAGAATATTTTGCATTTTTTATTTTTGTTCTTTTTTTTTAATTTTTAAATTTTTAATTTTTTTTCCAAGAGAATTTTCTGATTTTCTTTTTTTTGATAAATTTTATTGCTATAAAAAAGAAAAAATATGACAAGTGATTTTTTAATTGCAAAGTCAACAGACATGAAAAATAGTAAAAAAAAAAAGGAAAGAAAAGAAACCGGTATTTTTTGCAAATAATTGTAAAGTTTTTTTTTTTTTTTAATGCAAAGAACTTTTTTGTTAACCTGAAATTGCCTTAATAATGATTTATAGGACTTTTAATTTTTTATTCTCCTTCGTCTCGTTTAATTGTCTCTTCTTAATGGCTAAATTCTTCCTTATTGTTGCGAAAAAAGAAGAAATTAGCAGGGAATTGCGATAACTGCGATTATAGTTAGTGGCGATTTCGTTACTTGCTACCTCGTGATGGTTGGCGTCAAAAGCGAGGAGAGCTGGTGAAGATCTGGTCTGATGCAGTTTTGAAGATTTTGAACGTGTAGAGGGACCATCAATATATGGACTTAGGCGATGGAAAAAGGAATGGCTCCTAATACTATTAGCGATAGTTGGACCGAGCATCTTGAAGACCTCTCCTCCTTGTCGCTAGCGGAGCTAGTTTAACCAGTAATGGACTAATGGACGTTAGGAGATGAAGAAATTATTGGCGAGAACAAAAAATATTTGAAAAATCTACATACAGTTGTTTAGCATTTAATTCCATATCAAATGGTAGTTATTTTAAGCTATCGTTTAGGCGTGAATTGACTAAGCCAAACTTCAATTGAATGAGCTACAACTCTAAAATGCGGCTTTTTTTGCTTTTTTATAGATGCTATTAATATTTTATTTTTATATTTATTTTTGTTTCCATCAAATTAGAGTGATTTGAAGAAATTCTTAGAATATCATTGGTTTCGTATAAATTATTTGTATGAATATTGAACGTTGAATAAAACCGATATAACTAAATAAACCAAATAAATTTTGCGATTCGCCTTGGATCGATTAAGGTGAACTCCGAAAGCGTTTATTTGACCGCGAAATATATTAATAATTAATAAAATAATTGAACTATGCGAATTTAATTCATCGTGGTTTTTCGTGGTTTTTTAATTAATCTTCTGATGTCCTTGTTATGACATTAAAATGACCTAAATTATTAATATTAATCTTTAAATAATGTCGTTAATGAATTTAAATTTACCAAATCGATCGAAATTCTTTTATTCAAAATTAAAATTAATTATATTTTTAAAAAGTAAATATATTTTTAATTTTATAGATTATTTTCGTGAAATGCCTTTGCCTTTATTCGGCAAATCGCATAAATCACCACCGGATATCGTAAAAAATCTCAAAGAATCTTTGGCTATAATCGAGAAAGGTGATAAGAAAAGTGATAAAGCTGCAGAAGAGGTGAATAGGTGGTTGCAATCAGTTAAAGGTATTATATACGGACAAGAAGGTCAAGAACCTCATACTGAGCAGGTCATTTTCTTTTTAATTTTTTTAATTTAATACTTCTTAAAAAAAAGTGTGTTATGCACTTGGGGAAAAAAACAAGTGGATTTCCAGAAATATCATTTATTTCACCTTGCATAACTAACTGAATGGTATATGAAATTTCAGTGGCTTAGCTTGAAAAATGTGTTAAACAATTTTGGATTCAGGCTGTCAAGGAAGTCAGATGTTTGTTTTATTTTCCCTGCAAGAATAATAAATATTTGACAAAATGAAAAATAACTTTTTTGTTGGTGAGTTCGGGGAGGCGAATGAATGAAAAATATTAAATTCATTTTTCCTCAGGTTGCTCAGTTGGCTCAAGAAACCTATAATGCAAATGTCTTACCAATGCTGATCAAAAATCTTTCGAAATTAGATTTTGAATCAAAGAAGGATGTTGCACTAATTTTCAATAATCTTTTACGTCGACAAATTGGTACTCGATCACCAACTGTTGAGTATTTATGTGCTCGACCAGAAATACTCATCGCTCTTGTTCATGGGTAATTTATCCATTTTAATCATATATTTACTTTTTCTAGTCTTTAGTCTTTACTTTCGAATAAATTTGGATTTTCACATATTACACGAATTCTATAAATTTTAATATACCTCTGAAAATTAAATATTAATTAAATATTGAATAGATGTTAAAGTATATTTTCTTCATTAATTAGCAAACTAATTTTATTTGCTTCAGATTTTTAAATTAATTTTTTTATTTTTATCTAATCTAAATAATTTTTTTTATTTACTTTTGATAATTTCTGTTTTATTTAATTTTATTCTTAATTAGATGACAAGTTTTCTGAAAAGTTTATTTTTAGGGAAGGTAATTCATGAAAATTCAGGTATGAGGTATCCGAAATAGCCGTTACTTGTGGAAGTATGTTACGCGAGTGCGTTCGACATGAGCATCTTGCTAAAATAATTCTGCACAACCCAGTATTTTATAATTTCTTCCAATATGTTGAGGTTTGTTGTTTAGTTTTCGAAATTTCATTTTCTGTGAATTTTTTTACATTCACTGCATAAAATTTGGATTTTTTGGCTTTTTCTTCCACTACAATCATTTGAAAATTTTCATTTATGTCGAAAAATAATAATGGAGATTTTACAGGTTTCAACATTTGATATAGCATCCGACGCTTTTTCAACCTTCAAAGAACTTGTTACCAAGCATAAAACACTTTGCGCAGAATTTTTGGAAACCAATTATGATAAATTTTTCCAGTCTTATCAGAATTTACTAAATTCTGAAAATTATGTGACTCGAAGGCAATCTTTAAAGGTTGGCTTTTTTTAACTTTTCATTGGGGCATTTATAAGAAATTTCATTTTTTTATCTTTCCTTTTTGCAAAATTTTTGCAAATTTAGTTGGAAATTTTTCGTGAAAATTTTTTTCTAAAATTTGACATTATTTTCCAGTTATTAGGCGAGCTTTTATTGGATCGTCATAATTTTAATATAATGACTCGTTATATAAGCAGTCCGGACAATTTGAAGCTCATGATGAATATGCTCAAAGAAAAAAGTCGCAGTATACAGTTTGAAGCTTTTCATGTATTTAAGGTACATTTCAGGTCTTAGGGTAGATAAGTAAACCAAGTAAAAGAAGTCAGCGCTCATTTTATTATGGATGGACACTTAGGAATCTAAAGAATTCACGGAATTGTAGTTTTTGGAATTCTGCTCAATCGTTGTAATTTAATTGTTACCAAGCATAAATATTTTGAAAAATTTTGAAAAATTTTAGTTTGGCTTAAAAAGTTTAATAATGTTCAAGGTATTCGTTGCGAATCCAAACAAGCCAAAAGTCATAGCAGAGATTCTTTTGCGGAACAGAGAACGTTTGGTTGAATTTCTCACAAATTTCCATACAGATCGTACGGAAGATGAGCAATTCAATGACGAAAAAGCATATTTAATAAAACAAATTCAAGATATGAAGTCGTCTTGAATTTGAACGAAAAAAAAAATGAAACTATTTTGTTAGCCTTTTTATTCCAAATTATTTTTTTCTTTTAATCTATCGTCGTAATGCCTAAGGAAAATATGTTGTGATATCTAGTTTAAATATTTTTTTTTCGCTTAACGTTTATGTATTATTATTTTGGTCAGTCCAATTTCATTTCCATATATAGGGCCGTATCTACAGAATAGTATAAAATTTAAAATTTATGTGATATGTATCAGATTTGTGAGAATTCAAAAGTGAATAATTGAACTATTGCATTTATTGCTGAGAAACTATATCGATTATTTTGCATCAGAATTGCAACATCAAATACTATTCTAATAATTTATAGAATTATTCCTTAAATAAATAACGTTTATTTTTAGTTTTTGGGATCCGAATTTTTCGATAAAATTATTTTAAAAAGTAGATCTCGTTTTGCAAATACCTAATGATTATATAATTAAGGTATTTTTTAATATGCAATTTATTTATATGAAATTGGAAATAGCCTCATCTAATTGCTTGCACATAATGATTTATTTATGCATACCGTCGTTTATTTTCCATTCCCAATAGGATTTCTATAAACGAAACGCTATTCTTAGACGTTTTTTTTTTTTATGAATTTGAATTTGAATTAAATACTATATGAATTTACTTTATTTAATGATAAATAATATTTTTTGTGTTGATTCTATTATTTTAATTATTTCTTTTAAAAATATGGGCAAATTTTTCAATTTGAATAATTTGAAAACGACGGTATAAGTGATTGAAATGAATTAAAATTAGATTTTATTTGATCTTATCATTTTTTTTTGTTCTATTATGCTATGGTTTAAAAGGCTAATTTAGCTCATAAAGCCATTTTTTTTATTTTTACAAAATTAAAAACGCCTTATCAATATGTTCATAAATATAGCTTGTCATTTTATCACTGATGATAGAATGAACTAGTTTTCACAGGTTTTAATCTTCTTTCGTAATCTTCTTAATATAAAAACGAGCTTATAGTATTTTTATATTATATAAACATTATAAATTTTATAAATAAACATATATGAAAGGAAATAAAATTCTATAAATTTTTCATTTCCAGCAAGTCGTTATTTAATAAAAAAAATTTTTAGAAAAAAATATTGTGGAAATAGAAATAAAAAAGAAATATTGTGGAAATTTTGGTAATTTCAGGGATCTTTCTTGATTCCTAGATGATTTCTTCAAATGTCACGTTTATTCACGTTTTTTTTTCACGTAGCGAGTTGTGAAATATAAGGAAAGTTATTTGCCTCGTACTAAGTGAAACCATACAAGGAAAATGATTTTTAATTGAGTTTCTTGTTAATTTTTAATTTATCGACTGAAATTGATTTTCTTATATGTTTTCATTGAAAGCGCAATTATTATATGGTTTTTCTTAAAAATGCAAGCGTACAACTGGTTACTAGATGGATTCATCCATCCACAGAATGATTCTTTGGCGAAACAACTCCCTTTCAAACGGTACGGCAAGTCAAAGCAAGGCATAAATGGTGAGCGGTGTTGGCTCATATTTTATTGAATTGAAATTAATACTTACTTTTTACTTGTTTCACCTTTAGCACAACCGTAAAAGCGTTTAAATATAAAACATAAAGTATAAAAAAAGTACATCACAATTTCTAATTTCAAATACATAATTCAAATACAAATCATATCGATAAAAATCAATCATCAATCACTGAAACGGATTATACTTAGAAATATATAAATTCAAGCGATATCAACCAATATTATTTTCACCCATTAATAAATAGTTTCGTAAATTTTCGAAAACTTATTAATAATGAAAGCGAAAAATTATTGATGGAAAATAAAACGAAATACAGTTCGCTATATTTCCATATTAAATGCTATACACAATCTTAAGAAAGATGTCGAAAAAAAAAAGATGAAGGAAAAAAAGAAAAAAAATTAAATTAATAATTAAGAATGGAAAGAATTAATTAATTAATCAATCAATAATAATTCTTTAATTAATTCAATTCTTTAATCTTTACTTAATATTTAATAATCTTAATTAATAATTAAAAAATTGATCGATAGAATTTGTTTAGAATTGTAATATTCGAACGTGCTATTTTTTTTTGAAAATTCTAATATAAATTTAAAAAATAATAATAGTTTTCTTAATTGAACTGAATTGAATATTTATACAAATGGAATGCGAATCATCCGAAATATTTGGCACTTCTACGGTAAGACATGAATTTTCTCCATTTGGCTTCCTCATAATATAAATAAATAATTTAACTACCTTCCATAGATCCTATCCTACTACAACTGTTCCAGCTAACGAACATATCTTTAAACAATTCATAATTGAATATCTGTTCCATTTTGTCCTGCACTATGGAGATATGGAGTAAGTATTCAATTATTCAAAAATTTCGAGTTATTTCAGAAAAACTCAGTGTCTGCAGTTATGAAGGCATTGGTTAAAATTGAGCTTTTTCAATAAAATTTCATGCTGCAGCACTGTATTAAATTTCTATGCAAAAGTGAAAGTGTCGGATACCTGAAAAGAACAATATTCAATCGCTTTATAATTTATCAAAATTAAAATATTAATCTCTATTAATTTTACAATTCCTAATACGACTCTTATGGGCAATAAACCAACCATGGTATAATAATGAGAATGAAAAAAAGAAATCAACAAGAAATGGTTATAGAAAAATTAAAAAATGCCAAGTCCTCAAATATATATGAATCACAATTATTCTAATGAAAAGCTGTAAAAATGCAATAAACCTTAGCGCCTTGCAGTTCCATATGTTGATCAACAATTTGTAATAATTCAGATGGTGAAGGTACGCGGCCGCTCTCCAACTTGGACCAGATCTGTTCGTTACCCAAAAATATTTCAAACGCACCAGTTGACATAAGAGAACCTAAAATTCACAAAAGTTTTTGTAAATTCGATATAATAGGGAAATCCGAAATTTTTTTGAAAATAATTATTGAAAATGATTATGATAAAAAAACAATGCTTAATAAAATCCCAAAAAGATTCCTTACTTTCAACAGCATTCGAGATTAAGAACAACATCATACAGCACGAAAGTTTATTGCTGAACGCCCAATTTACAATCCTTGGAGTTTCCATACCAGAGGCAGAAAATGGATTGGTTCCCATTACAATCATCACAATCAATGCAATTTTACCAAATCCAATAACCTACAAATAAAATAAGACAAAACCATCTCCATGGGTTTGGAATCCTTTTATGTGGGAATATAAATTGTAATTGCAAAATACCTGAGCAATTATTGATTTCCATGCAGTTGGTGAATAATTTGAACCGCTGATTTTCATTGCTGGATATTTTTCATGAATGAAACGAGAAAATTCATCAAAAGCTTGTCTATAACCACAAGAAACACTGCAAAAATAGAAGAAAAGATGAAAAGAAATCTAAAAACACAAAATAATAAATCATAATGGTGAGATATTTTTGTAAACAAAAATTCTTATTGCCTGTTTCTCTTTCTGATTTTACAATCAACTTTTTGTGTGGACAAGAAATACATATAATGTTTAGAAAGTTCTATGCAAATATGTAGAAGAGATCACATAATGGGATAAATTCATGGAATGAAATAGAGTTCAACTAATTTTATTCCACTGAAAAAGAGCAATTCCATCTCGTTTAACTTCTTTTCGCTTTAGAAGATAAAACAATATTATGGATAAAAATTCCTGACAATAAATTATTTTTTGGACCAAATGCAAGACGTAAGACCAGAAAAAAAATAAAAAACAAACGAAAGAGGTCTTAACACCCCACATAAAAATTTAAGACAAATTTTTTTCGACAGATCTATACACTATAAAAGAGCATTTTTGTGGTAGACATCCCAGCATCCTTTTTGGGGATAAATGTTTTGTAGTGGTTTATTGATCATTTTTCACTCCGGTACCAATACCAGCATATAGAAATGTAGAAGAATCATAAGTTTCAATAATAGATTTACTTACCAAAATAGAAATTTCATCTCAGGCAATTTCTTTATCGTATGCGAGGAAGTAAAATGTGATGAGGGTTTACGAATATGAATCTCTTCATCTTCAATAGATTCACCATTTTTTGGTGTACCATCTTCATCATCAAATTCTTTTTTGAAAGAGTCCTCATCAACATCGTTTTCATTTTCTAAATGCCCGTATATATCGCTTAAAGATAATAGCAATGCTGAAGCCAATATCAAACAACCAAACTGATTTAGTACCATCTGAAAATAATAATTTTTTATTTAAAGTATAAAAAGATTAATTTTTTAAACTATTTTGAAAACATCCGCCGTTTTTACTTATCGGTTTCTAAACAATTTTTTCACTTTTTTTTCTTCAAAGTTTTAGTTTTCACCCAAAGTTTTATGCTTTTAAACCTTTTGCATTCCAAATTTAAAATTGTTTACATATATAGCAATATGACAAATAAAAAAAAATTAATAACAAAAAAATTCATCAAATTAAAAAACTCAATAAAATAATGTGACAATAAAGTATAAAAATACAAAAATAAATGATAAATAAATAAAAAGAGAGAAATTTTTTTAAAAAAATTCCCACCATCAATGCAAAAAGGAAAACGAAAAATATTTATAATAATCAACACCATAAAATCGATTCATTTCCTATTCATCGTTGTCATGTGGATCATTTTCTTCCAGCCGCACCTATTTTACGTTAGAATTCTTAGGTTTTATAACGATGTGATCTTTCTGGTTGATATTTTTCATTTGCTATTCTCAATAAGCATCTTTCTATAGTAAATTCTTACTGCGCATTATGTGATGAAAAATGGTTTAGCTTGAGACTAATGCTCGGTACTTCAAGTGATATTTCCGGCCGTATTTTTTCAACGAACCGTTCATTTGCTTCGAACTCTGGTCACGGCAAATTACGAAATATCAATGCCTTTTAGCGATTCAAATTTTCGTTTCTAAGTTAATTTTAGGATTAATTTTAATTTTTTTAGATGATTTTTCAAATCAATTTTCGATTATATTTCTTCCTAATGTGAGCCTTTCGTTCACTATTCGATTTCACTTGATTTATTACCACTGCGAGGAATTGAAATAATAAATGAGTAAAAACAATATAAAAGAAAGCGAAATAAATACAAAAAAGAAAGGTGAATAAAAGTAAAATAAAAATAAATAAAAGCAATTAAAATAAGAAAAATGAAGAGCGAACAAGAAACGAAGAAATAAAAAAATACGAAAGTAAAAAAAATACGTAGAAAATAAATACGCCAATCGAAAATAGGAGTTATATACGATTAAAAAAAAATGAAAAACTATTTCAACTATTTCTAACTATACCAACTATTTCAAAAAAACAAAGAAAAAAAGAAAAAATCCCAAAAACCTACACCCTCCCAGCTTTCCGGAAACAAATCCCAGTCCTTGATACATTCATCTTAAACTAGAAACGTTTGCACCACAGTAATTTATAGAAAATCAAACAATCGTTTAAGGGCCAAAATTTGATTTTATCTACTTGTTTTGCAGCGCAAAATCAGTCGGATCATTACCTTCTTCCATTTTCTGTGTTTCTTTCTCTCTTCTTTCTCTTCCATGCGTCTTTTCTCTTTCGCCACTCCTTGAACAATTCGTCTAATATGTACTCGAGTGGTACTCGAATTCGATCGACGTCATTCATTTCCTGTTGAGTAATTTGTTTATTGAGAATGAAAGTGACAATCTTCTTTCATCTCTAAATCCATTTCTATGATTCCGCTTTCATCACCAACAATTAAGGATTGTTGGCTGTCCACATAGCCGAATTGTAAAAATTCTATATTTCCGTTAATACCTTAAAAAAATTTTCTTTAATAGAATTTCCTCTCCTGCGCAGTCTGATGCCGTTGTGGACAATAATTGAAGCCATTCCTTTTTCTATCGTCTAAGTCCATATATTGCTGGTCCATCTATATGTTCAAAATCTTTTCTAACCATGTGAGTCCAGGTCTTGATTGGCACACCTAGCTTTTGACGCCACTCACCACACGGTTTAGCAAGTAACGAAATACGCTCCTGAGATGAAAAACAGAGAATGTAACCATCGAAGGCGGCTCGCTCTAATAAGATTATTAATGCAAGTGGTATTTAAACGAAAATGGATGCGATCGTGTGATATTTATCCGCTCGGCGGACCCATGAGCTTTAGACAAAAGTGGACAAATGTAGATAACTTCTTAATATCTTCCAATCTCATTGGCCATGTCTCAGAGCCATATAACAAGATCGGACGAAGATTCGAACTTTCGTTTTTATGGTGATTTCACGATGACTCCATAAAGGTTTCGTCAACCGAAAGAACGCATTTCTGGCTGCCGTGATCCAGGTCATTATTCCGTCTTTTGCCTGGTTATTTGGTATTGGAGTGGATCCAAGGTATCTAAATCGGTATTCGAGAGAAGATCGTTCGACTCATAAAGGTATTTTGTGAGCGTACGTTGGCGCAGGTCTATGTATATGGGAAATTGAAAGATTCATTCGAAATAAGAACTGGTGTCCGTTAAGGCTATGTCCTTTCTCCTACAGTATTCTACTATGCGATAGACGACTGCGTAACGGACAGCGCTTGTGGGCACTCAAGGAATTTCCAAATTAATCCAGAGCATTATAACACAGATCTTGAATACGCTGATGATACACTCCTATTTTCTAACAGTTATGACGAAATGCAAATAATGCTAAATAATGGTCAGAAACTGCAGCAAAAATCGGACTCAGGTAAATAAAACGACAGCCTTTTCGTTTTATGTGCAAGAAGCTGATAAAATGTCTCTTCTTGTAAATTTATTGTCAATTGAGGAAGTGCCCGATTGATATGCTGTTTGTCTATCTATTGAGCGGTCGAGTCAATTTTTAAATGTGGCGTTCGTCAGTGCCAAAGCCAAGTGTTTCGAAAACTCACTTTTTGCGGAATAATTCTTTTTCCCAGGATTTCATCGCCTCAGAAAATTGCCTCTTTTTTTATCGTTTATAGAAAGGAATGAGTATTTTGCCTGAAAAAATTCACTTAAAAACGTAATAAAATAATTGTCTTCGTCGAAATAACTCGCAAATTTGTTAATTTCGTTGAGCTATAAGGATGAGACGTTTCCAAGCCATTTTATTAATTCGATGCGATAATAACTGTAAAAATTAGAAAAAATAAATAAATATTTGCAACAAATTCTCTGCTTTTTTAAAACAATTAACAAAATAAATTTTTGATAAGAATATGATAAAAATATAATAAAAAATATTAGCGATTACAACGCCAAATAATTCAAAGGAAAACAAATATAACAAAATTGATAATTTATATGGCATAATTCCGACAAAATTTCCGAAGGAAAAGAAATATGAAAAATTGATAATTTGTGTGGCATAATTCCGGCATAATTTCCAAAGGAAATAAATATGATAAATTGATAATTTATATGGCATAATTTCACTATAATGTCCAAATGAAATAAATATATTGACAATTGACAAAATTGACAATTCATGCGTCATACATTTTGACATAATTCTGGCATAATTTTATCATAATTTTGAATTATTTGACAAAATGTAGAACTAATCTCAACTATAAAATATGCTGGCAAATATAAGCAAATACCTGAAATTCCATTGTGATCAATCATATGGCCGTTTGCCAATCGATGATGATCGACGCCGATAGTGTTATATACGAAAGCGCAAACAATGGAATTTTCGTCGTCGCTATCGATCGACATTTTAACAATAAATTGGTGATAATGAGCTTTAAAATAATATTTATCGATATTCTTTTTAAGGAATATTCATTTGCTTTTAATTTCACCTCCCATCCCCCTTTTTCCCAGTTAACTTTGTTGGTTTCCATGCCAAAATTAATGAGACGAAAAAATACGGTAATCGAAATTAGTGATGGTTTGGTTGTTAATGTGGAATCAATAGGAGCCATGAGAGGGGGGTCGTTGTAGAGCTTTGTTTCGCGTTGAAATATGGATTATTTATCTGAATCGCCTAAGGCTATTTATTGTCAAAAACCACTTTGTTTTTTTTAGATTTATTAGAATTATATTTCAGAGAAAAGAATCATTTTTCAAAATTTTTTTTTTTTTATACGAAGACATTCATTTTAATTTTAATTTTAATTTTTATTTTTAAAATTGTAAATTAATTTTATTGATTAATATTTATTAATTAAAGTTTAGTGGATAGAATAGCGCCAATGGGTTGCCATACTCATTTCAGAGTGCCGATGTTGAAGTTCCACACGAATAAGCATGATTTTTAAAAATTCGGGTGATTCGAATAGTAGCGACTCATTTGCATCACAAATGTCTAGCCAAATAATTCTATGGCAGAATTAATACATTCCTTATCGTATTTTTATGTTCTAATATCATAGTGATAAGATATCAGAAGATATAAGAAGTTTCTTAGAGTCGATGCAGATGATTGAAATTAATCAAAAATCATGATCAATCTCCTCTCAATATAGTGATTAAAATTTATTATTATTATTATCAGTTTTATTATCATTATTATTAATTAGAACCAGTTAAGAACCATTAAAATTGCTCAACTAATCGCACAACCATATGAAATTTTGCTTGCGCCTTGTCCCATAAGGGTCCAAAAATATTCTATTATAGTAAAACTTTGAAGGTTCCGAAGAAATAAGAAAGATCATTCCAAGTTACCATTTGTCACCGCATTTTATATTTAAATATTTTTAATTTTATTTAATTTCAAAATTATCAAAATAAATTGTAAAAATTGTTTAAAATATTATCAAATATTCGACTAAATTAATTTATATAATGGAATTTATATAATGAAAAATTTAATTTCATTTGATTTTCAGTTATTTTTTTCTTTTTTTTTTTCTGTCACAATTCTATGAGAATCTATTACGTATTGGCTATAAGCTGGCGATATTCGTGATAAATATTTTGCTATTGCGAATTTTTACTGACGCCGCTGCTCGATGTCAACAGTGGGTGTAAGTGAGATTTATTTTCAAATAATATGTGCAATAGTTGAGAATTTTAATGAGTCCGCTTTGGTTCAAATGGTGCGTCGAGTGGTGAAAATAAAGAATGGTGCACCATAATTGGAATTGAAACGAAATTTTTAGGGATCACTTATATAAAAGGATTTCAGTAGAGTCAACCAAAATTAAAATAATCGAAGTGCACATTTTGGTGACTATTTATTATGCGATTTTTTATAAATTATAGCCAAAGAATGTCGAAAAGTGGAAAAGTAAAAAAAGTGAAGTGAATTATGAAATTTTTTGAAAGATTAATTCTTCTTCAGTACCATCCAGGATTTAATAAATATTATATTAATAATATTTTATATTTACTAAAAAAAGAATTTTTGAATTTAAAATATTAAAATATTTTAGCATTGAGTTATGCAACGAACGAGCGACGAGCTTGTTATAGACGAATCTAAACCAATTTATCGAAATAACGAAATAATACGATTAAAAGAGATTGGCGACGAACAAATAGCGGCAACTCGTAGTGTTTGGTTAAGCGAAAAATCATCTGATTGTTGCGTGGAAAAATCGTCTTACGGCGACAACGACGACAACGACGACAACGACGACGACGATAACGTCGACAACGACGACAACATCAACGTGCCAACTAAACGACTTACAAACAATTGTAGTACAACGAAAGAGCGTCGTATACATGCAGTCAGCCCGATGCAGTATCAAAACGGCCGATTCTTAAGTTCACTTCTTCATGAAGCGAAAATTTCGTCGTCGAATAATCTACTTAGTAATAATAATCAGAGTAAATTATTCTTATCTAATGCATATTAGAATGGAAATAGAATAGCCGAGTGATTTTGGCTTAGATTTTAGCCTCAAGGCTAATGTCAAAGCCTAGGACCTTACTTTCGACGAAAGTAAGCCTATCATTAAAAATTACAGGTAGTGCCACCTTTACTTACCTATATTTTTAGCTTTAACTCGCATTAGTTAGTGGAATGAACGAAACCAGAAGTGGCTAACGCTAACTTTTTTTTTTAGATACACTAATGCTAAATACCAAATGAAAAAATTTTATAAATATTATTTATTTGCTGACAATGATTTTCAATAGATTTGTTTGTGAACTTAAAATCTTAAAATCTTTTTTTCGTTTTAACAAACATAAAAATCAACATACTTAGCAAAAAAAAACCAAGGATATTCTTTTATTTTTAGATTTTTTTTTCTAAAAAAACTCACCATTACTGCTTTAACTTGCTCCACTGGCTTATTGCAACTGTGCAATATGTCAGGGAGTCCCTTGGCGATAGAAAGTAGAGGTAATCGCCAGCATCATCCGGATTTTTGTACAGACTTGCTTCTGCGGGGAATCGAACCTCAGCATCGGCGCTCCAAACTGAGCAACAACCCACTGAGCAATTTTATCGCCTATTATTAGAATTTCCAAAATTAACTTATTTCTTTATATAATTTAACAATTAAATTTTTATATGCTTCCAAATTTTTGATGATTTTTCATTTTACTTCAACTGTGGATTTCGGTGATTGCCATCTTTCACTCATCCGATTAAAAATTTGTGGATATTCAGATTATGGCGTGGATCAAGAAGCAGATGCAAAACTTCAACAAATGATAAATAATTATCAAGCACAAGTATTGCAGCAACAACGATCCACTTTCACTGATCATGAAATTATAAGGTTATTATTTCTTTTACTAATTTTTTAAATAATTTAATGTAATTTCCCTTGAATTTTTCTATTGTGATATGATAACATTTTGTTTAAATCCTATCTGTGGAGTGATTAGTATCAGTAATTATTATAGAATATGGAGAATACGAAAATATTATTAGCAAATTTCGAATGTTTCTATAATTATAGTGGATTTTTTGACAAAAAATTCAAACAAATTCGATAATTGGCCATATATTCTATAGGCATTTGAGAATTTTAACATAATAAATTTATAGAAGTTTTCCTGAACCACCGTCATTATCAGCTTCAAGTGTTCAACAAAAAATGCCACCAATGAGTCATTCTCAACCATGTCTTATCAATATCACTGAACGCAAAAAAGATAAGTAAGTCTATTTTTTTTTTTGAAAAAAAAATATTTTTCATAAGAAGTTACTATTCTGGATCATTTTAATTGATTGTTTTAAGTAATTGTAGAGTTGGTGAATCTGCACCACCTATGTATACATCATTGGAGCAGAGCGATATTCGTGAAAATTTAAGCCTGAAGTCTAAACTTTTATCAACTCAAAAATGTTTAAAAGCTTTACAAGACGAGAATGCGAGTTTAAAACAACAATGCGAATTTCATAAAAAAAAGACAAATCGACTTCAACAGGTTCGGTTTTATTCGGTTTTTATATCTTTGATATCTTTCATTTGATTTCTACGCATATAATTTTGCCATATCATGAAAGCTTAATTTTGCTGGATTCTGATCTGTATGCAATGATTTTTTTTGGCTCAATTCATCTGTGGACAAAAACTACAAATATTTCAAGAATCTTAATTTTCACACTAAATGTGAATAAATTAAATTTTTAATTTTAGGTAAATTACTAAATAATTATTGAAAAAAAGCCCCATTTTTGAAGGAGTGTATTTTTTTTTTTCGAAAATGATATTTTTAATATTTTGATAATAATGATATATATTTTTTTAGTTGGAAAGCGCTTATGAAGCTATTGAAAAAGAATATGAAAGTTTAACGATGCAGAATGAAAGACAAGATAACTTAGAGAAAGCCATGCGAGCAAAAATGGAAAACCAAATTTCTAGGTAATAAAGTGATAGAATAAATTTCTATCTTTTCTTTTTTAAATAATACATCTTCGCATATTTATATTTTTCGTTATTGTAATTTTTTGTGGTACTAGTTAGTTAGTTTATTTAGGCTTTCAACGGAAAATGATATTTTGCGAGAAAGAGTTGATGAATTAACGCAAAGACTTCAAGTAGATCCTCAATCGGATCAGTTAAATAAACTCAATTTAATCCTCAACGAAATGATTCCACAAAGTTTGCACTTTTTTATTCTTCTATAAAATTTATTTTTATTATTGTTTTTCAATCGCTATTTTTTTGTATTTTTTCTCAGCGATTTTTTTCATTAAAATTTTATAGATAAAGAACTTTTGGCGTGTAAAGAACGACAAAAACGAGATATACAAGCGTTGGAAATAACTCTTAAAGAACAAAGAAATCATATACAAGTTTGTTTCGATTGATAAGCAAATAATCAAATTTGAATCAATACCATGTGAATTTTTCAGATTTTAGAAAAAGCTTTAAGTAATGCGCAAGAAAAAGTTTGGAAAAAAGAAAAGGAAGTTGAAGAATTGAGTGGTAATACTGAAAGAATATTATCATTACAACGAGCAGTTGAAGTAAATAATTTTTTTATATTTTCTTTTTCCTTTAAATTTTACCAATTTTCTCCGAAATTCTTGCAATCATAAAAAATTTCTTTTTTCTTGTCACGTCACTTACTATTTTTATTTTGGCTGACTACAGAGTACTTAACGATAGAAACACAAATGGGTTTCAGATTATTATGGGTTATAAATGGTACCATTAGCCGCTTTAATTTCAGAAATCACTAATGGATAAGCAAAAACGTGAAGAGGAATGGAGTCGTGAAAGAGCTCAATTAGAGATGGAAAATGCACAATTGAAGATGCAATTAGCTAAGGAAAGTATGTCAGTTGGAGTTAAAAAAGGAGCGGGAGCAAGAAGTCCTGACAACGAAGAAGTTGTCGCAAAACTTAAAAAGACACTTCACACTAAAGGTTGCCAAAAATTTAGAATTATTTTAAATTTTCTTTGTAAATTATTATGGAATTTAAAAAATAAGCATTTTTCACTTGAAATATCAACGCTGAAGCTTTTGCTTTCGCTTCCATAATTTTATCAACTTTAATTATTTTAGAGGATAAAATAACGTCACTAGAAAAAAATATCATAGAATTGGAAGCAAAATTCCATGAAGAAATGCAGCGGAATAAAATGGCCATTTCAACACAATCCGATTCATTGTTAGTTTATCCTTGCTTTATATATAAAATCAATCACTGATTAAATTCCTTATCAGTCAGAGATATTTTAGATTTCATACAATAAGAGGATAATATATGTTTGCGATTACAATTCGCTTGTTTTTTGTAAAATAATTTTTATTTTATTATGTCTATGATTTATATAATTAATCATGGAATTATTATTTCATTACTGATAAAATATCCAGGTCTTATGGACGATAAGAAAAAATTTTGCATATTTGGGATAAGTTATAAAATTTTAATCAAGTTTCCAGAGAATCAAATCCATAGAGACGAATTGCATTAAAAAATACGATAAGCGTGATATGTAACTGGGGCCAAACATATATAAATATATACTTTCAATTATGAAAATCAATCAGTATCGAAACTTGAGGTCACTGCAGTCTAAATATATTAATATTATCAGTCTTATAATAAATTTTAGTATTAATATTTTATCGTTATTTTATAATATTTTGTCATCCTTCTTGAGTCACAATGAAATTAGTTGTTTTCTACCGCTTAGATTCATTTAGCTTTTTTCTGGATATTTCATGTGTATCTACTAGAATCCTCATTTTTATCCTCTTAAATTTCCTGTTACGCTATTCATTCGCTATACGCTATTCAGCGTTCTCGCCACTGCCTTCTCTATACATATGATTTAGATTTAGGCTTAGGCTTAGGCTTAGGCCAGCTGAATCAGAACCTGAATTATTTAATTAATGTAAACAAAAAATATTCTGGAATATCATTTGCCAGCTGTTCTTGATTTATATTGCATTTAATATAGTGCAGTTATTAGTTGGCTCTTATGGCATTTTTAATCTAGGATCGTTCCATTTTTCTCCATAAGATCTGGTTATTTCGACCTTAATTTAGTCTTATTATGCGAATATATTTAAGAAATAATTTGTAGATCCGGAAAACTAAAAAAGATGGAAGAAGAAAAGAGCGAAAAAGATCGGAAAATTGCTGAATTGACTGAAGAAAAAGAAAAGCTTATTGAAAAACTAGAAGATGAACGAAAAAATTCAGATAACAGAATCTCTTGCATGGAACGAGAAATCGAAAGAATTCGAAATGAACGCAGGTACCATATCAGTCTTCGAAAAAAATTTAGTATTTGATCTTAATTTTTTTAACTCTTAATGGTCAAAATCGAGATTAAATAAATAATTCTGTTTGAATTTGTAAGTAAACGAAAGGATAGAATTTAAGCGCCATAGGAAATATTTCTGTAAACTTTCGATTAACTCAACTGAATCATTTAATGAATAACTATTTCTGGAGAATTTTTAAATTTTTATCAGTTAATAGATCGAAAGATTTAAAAAAATTATTTATGCGAGTTCAGAGTTCAGAGTTGTCAACAGAGGAAACTGGAAAATTGGGTTTTTATCGTTGAGATATAAAATTTCGAAATTATCTGTCGATAATTTAGTCTGACTTTCTTAGGCTCGTATAGCTGTAACTATAAATTTATAAAATTTTATAAATTATATTTAATTTATTATGCAAACTTTAAAATAATTTTTTAAAAATAAATTTTAAAATAAATTTTACTTAAATTATTTTGTAAGACATTTAAATTCTTTAATCATGCAACCATGCGAAAAATAAATTTAAAGTCATCTGCATACAATTTTATAACAAATGCAAAATATTTTTTCAAAATATGGTATCGTTTAAAACATAATATATGATATTAATGATACTGATAATATTAATTAATTAATTATGCAAAAAAAAGCGAATGGCATTGATTTACACCAGGCTTAATTAGATAAAATCAGGTAGAGTTGTTCATGACTTGGCAGTCTGGGATGATTTAGCAATGATCAACCTAAACAATCTAGTGTTTGGTTAAGGATTTATTCGTGATGCCAAAGTCATTAATGAACAGCTGCTATGTGATACTGTATCGAAAGCTTTTTAAGCCAAATAAGCAATGTCTAAATAAGCAGTTAAGGCCATTTGACCACGTTCGATATACAGTGATCAGTCATGGAAATTAATTAGATGGTAGTTGGAGGGATCCGGGTGATCCTGGCGGCTCACCTGTTTCTATTGCCAAGGGAAATGCTTTCATATTCCTGGCATATTTGTCTAGTGCGACAAGCCAACGGAGCGGGTTTAATCAATAATGGTGAAAACTCACTCTAAAAAAAAAATTAGAGGGATTAACATAGGTTTTTTTTTTTTAAATGAAAAATACATTTGAAAATTTCCACATTTCGAAATTAATTCAAGAACCCAAAAAATTTCAAAGGTAGAGATATTGCTTACTTTTTATAGAGAATTTATTGGACTAAATGACTAAACCTAGTGAGGTGGTTTTAATTGCTTCCACGTATATATCAAATTCTAATAATAAAAATTCTATATTTGAAACCAAAAAGGCATTAGATTGATTAGCCAAGTTTATATTGATGGAAGCGTTATCATTCAAAAAAAAGGAAAATTTTTAGATGAGAAAATTTGTTTTTGATATTTTTGATACTGTTGGATTTCCGAAATTTGATAAGATCCTCTTTTATTAATATTTTAAATTAAAATTAAATATTTTAAAATTATTTCATAAAATATTTATGAAAATAAATTTTAAAATTTATATTTTTTTAAAGAATTTTTGAATCCTTCTGAATGCTATTTCTTGACTAAGTTGTTCGAGTAAAACCAAAAAAAAAATTCTTATGCCTAATTTTTAATTTTTAATAAAGGAATTATAGAGAATAAGCGTTTAGGACATTGGAAATCGGCATTAATATATTACTTTAAACTACATAGAAAGAGTTAATTTAGAAAATCATCTTCAGATTTGCCATCTGCCAGTTCTTCAAACATTCAATAGTTTGCCCAGTCATTATTTAGAAACCTAAAATCACTAACAGTGCTGAAATCCTTTTGAAATATTTAAAGTTCACAATAAATTAATAAAATCAGAGATAAAACCCATTGTAGTTATCTGGTCTATATTGATATTGATAAAGGAAATATTTTTAGCTTGGCTTCCACTGAGAAGTAAATATTGGACCATGGCCCTGTAGATGCAAAGAGAGGATCTTTTTGATTACTGTTTGCGAGATTTTACTCGACCATACTAACTAACCTAACCTAACTATCCTAAATAATTATTATGGACTTCAACTTGAACTAGCAGAAATAATAGTAAGTTAGGCGAGATTATTTGTATGACCAATGCTGCTCCCTTTAATTTTTCCACTACTCGAATACCCATTTATCTTCAGTTTCGAAAGAAATGTCAACAAGATTCATCTATGAAAAAAAGTCCAATATCGTTCCAATATCCATTATCTATCGTCGATCCAATATTGTTTAGTATTGCTGGAAAATGAATAAGACGATTTAAAAATAAAAAATTAAATTTAAAATTAAAATTAAATTAAAAATAAAAAATTTAATGTAGTAATTAAATTTAATTATTTTCATAGTTATATTCGATTAAATTTAAATTTATATTTTATAGGCTACGAGAAGACATGGCGCGTATGGAACAAATGCGCTTAAAAATTGCTGATAGGCGTTGCTTTACAACTGATAGAACTAGAAATCGGTAAAAATTTTATTTTTTCAATCATTTTTGTTTTTATCATATTTTTATTTTTTTCGCATCGCACTGATTATATGATATGTAAAAGATTAGAGAAGAAATGGGAATTGCTATGAAAAATATTAAATATTAACATGAAATCATCAGTTTACAGATTTAACAGTCATGATCGTACGTCATCAGGATCGAAAGCATCAATTTGCCAGAATCATGCAAGAGCGAATTCGGCATCTGCACTCCTACGATCTGATTTGCAATTCCCAATTGTCAACGCTAGTTCATCGCTCAACGAAAGCCCTTTAGATTTATCAAGCAGCAGTTCCCTGTCTAAGAGTACTCTTCCTCAAAACGCACTATGTAACAATGACTCGAATAAAAGCGATTCAATTCCCGATGGGCTTTGCGATGGATCTCGTTGTTCGCGGCAGACACCAATTCGATCCCATTACGATATAGATTTTTCTGATAGTGAAGGTATTTTCTCGAGATTTACTCGATATACTGGGCATGTTGCAGCGCATCGTAATGGAAAGCGTACAAAAGAAAATGCTTTAAAATCTCAAGAAGAAGTTTGGGATGTTTAGTTCTCAGTAAAATATAGCATGCTTTTTTTTCAATATTCCTGAAGAAAATAGATGATTTGAAAGATGAAGATTTTAATATATTAACGATTCTAGGTCTTTTTTTACTTAATGATGAATGATGTTATCAATGTTATCATTCACTATCCACTCATAATTCGCTCATAATTTTCTGAAACAATCTACTATATTCTATGATTAATAAGCTTTGCACCGTTTATCATTATTGGCCATCTAATTATTTCGAAAAAAAAAAAAAAATGAATTCATATAGGAATGTAGTTTCGGTCGCAGAATTTATTTTTCATAGCATTTTTATGCGGGTTTTCTATTGCCTTATTTAGTTATTAGCAAGAAATCTTACATTTATTTTAAAAAATTTTTTCATCCAGGATGAAAACTCATGGTTATTTTCTTTTTTTTATTTTTTGTTCATTAAAATAATAATAAAATCTCTATAATGGTTCTTTTTTCTAAAAAAAAAAACATTTATACATATTTTATTAGTCAAATGTTTTGATTACAAATTCTACATTTCATGTTCTTCATTTTTTTAAAAATAAACACCATTTCTGTTTAGGTTGAAACGTTAGAATTTCTGCTAAAAAGTCACAAGGATAGGTAAGCACACATTTATCAGTCCTTAATTTCTATCTGAAAAAAGGAATCGTTCGCCTTCTGCCGAACCAATATCCCTTTTGACCACATTGAACCATATTATAAAGTTTAATGATTCCAGGAATAAGTGCCTTGAATAATTATAAGTATATAATATATAAACATAAATATTGATATATAATATTAAATATATTACCTTCTGTATTGTCAAGAAAAATAAAAATAACTCTGCATAAATCTTAATTTATTTTAGTAAAGCATTTATGAAATTTCCACAGTAAAACTAAGAGCAAAACTCTGATAAAACTGATAATACTGATAATAATAATAATACTTTTAATAATAATAATAATAACACTAATAATACTTTTTCGCAGTTGCAATAAAACTCCTCCGATAAAACTCTTTCTTTTCGTTATGAAAAAAAACGAAAAAATCGTCAGTATTTTGCGTATTTTGCGTTTAACCACTGAAATGAAGTGATTTGTATTGTATATTGTTGATGCATTTTTTAACGTTTATCATTGCCCGAAAATATATGAGAAAAGTCGATTTTCATTTCTTCGTTATAACGTAAATAATAACGTAAATATAATTTTCAATACAATTAAAATTTTGGAAATAAATCGCTAGTAAACTTCTATCTTATTTATTGGATTTGTGCGAAATTCCTTTTGTTTAATGAAAAATTATTAGAAAAAAATTTTTAAATTTAAATTTTTAAATTTATTTTTTAATTTTATAAACAAAAATATAAAATATAAAAACAATGTATAATTTCATTAAAAAGAAAATTTTTATTTTTCATTTACTGTAAAAATTTCCTCATTTATCATTTATAAAAAAGTTTCAATTGTGCTTTTTTTTCGCTATTTTTCAAATAATAAATAAATGAAAATAAAAAATAAAAGGTTTGTATCGTTTTTTTAATAAAAAAATTAGATAAACATAGCGGAGATTGGAATTTCGAAATTTATTAAATATTGCTGATTCGCCTCGATCTTTTAAATCCAATGTATTGCACGCTGCCTTAGTGATTTCACCGATAATTTATGATTTAAAATTTTCTACGATAAATAATGCATTCCATAATGATTTGTGATTCAAATTTTCTGTGATAATCATGCATTCCATTATGATTTATGATTTAAATTTTCTGTGATAATCATGCATTCCATTGTGATTTATGATTTAAAATTAAAATTTCTCTGATAACTAATGCATATTTGTATATGGTCATCGCCCATCTTATCATCGTCCAAATGCACCAATCACTCTGATATGGCAGTTATAACGAAATTCTTTCGTACAAAAATTCAAACTTGAAGCTAAATGTGCAAATGGTAGCTTTAATCACGATATAAATGTTCTATCAGGCAAATCTTCCTGAAAGTCATTGGAATAATCTTATACGTACACGAAATATATATTATTAATATTTAATAATATTATAAGAATTATTTACAATTAGTTTAAAAAGTTTTTTGTTTGAATCAATTTAAATCGCTAAGAAACTCAATCAAATCTAAATCTGCATTAAAAAAAAATTTCTTGATGGTTTTAATGACTGATAATTATGATTATTGCAATTATGATAATGATAATAGTGCGAAGGGCAGCTTTAATCACGATATAATTGATTCTCAACAAAGACGGAGCGGAGAGTTCATTGGCTTAGCGGTAATCTTTGCGGCATTCTTCTGATCGATGAGGATTTAAAAAATATATTGATAAAAAATAATTAGGACTGATCAGTTCGTGCCAAACTGATAAAAAAGAACCGAGCGACGACTCAAGTCGCATTTTACGTTGCTAAACAAATACAATTTAAAGTTAGAAATGAAAAGAATTTTGGATTTTACAAATTCATCGCTTCAGAAAACGCTTCAAATCAGCAATAAAAACGAATAAAATATTTTTAAAGCTCAAATGATAAAAAATAAATTATTAAATATTTACCGCTTTACCGTATCGGTCTAATTTATTTTAGTCGTTTGAATAGTTGCAAAACGGTTGAAATGCATTTAATAATTCAAAATAATGATTTCATCAATATTCTTCAATAATCTTATTTTCAAATTTTTTTAATTAAATATTTCATTAGAGAAAAAAAGTTTTAAAAGTTTTATTATTTATTATTATTATTATATTATTTTATTATTATTATTATAATTTTTCATTTTATTATTTATTATTTTAATATTACTTCATTATTTATTATTATTACTATTGTTATTTATTATTATTTATTATTATTTATTATTATTATATTATTATTATTATCATTCAATTCGAAAAATATTGTCTTATTTATATTCATAATGTGTTTATACATAGATTTTTTATGATGCTAATGAGTAATCGATATTTAAGGAATTTTTATTATCCAGTTGTTAACAATATCATCCTAAAAAAAGCTTTTATCTCATTAACCTGTCATCTTCGAAAAGAGACGGAGGTGGTTGAGGGTTCTCCGTATTCTTAGCTGTTTCTAATAGTGTGCTCTTCTGTACTCTAATGTTTAGAGATCTCTAATGTTTTTCCTGGAATCTGTTTGAGCTATTCTTCTATTTTAGTGTTCATCATAATTCTACCTATTCTAATTATCACTGGAATAACTCTGACCTTTACTTCCAACATCTTCTCTTGTTCAGCTCTTGACATTCCTCATGTTTTTTTTCCAGATTGTTCTTGTCACTTGGTTTATATCTGTTTATATCTATCACTAGTGTTTATTTCAGGTCTACAACCAGGACATCTGGTTGATTGGCCAGTATTTGTTTGTCCATCTAAATGCGCAGGAATTTTCTCTATCATTCCCCACAGTTTTCTGATCTGCCGAAAGCAAATGCATCAAATAAATTATCAAACCTTTCTGGAATAATCAGTTAGAATAAATTCATGCGGATATAAAGGAATAAATTCGTCAAATTAAGACAAGTTTAGTAGTTTTTATTTAATAGTTTTTAGATTAATTTTATATTCTAATTACGTTTAAGAATATATTTCGACATAAACACATAAGGCCAGAAAGCGAACAGTGAAATGCGCTTGTTTTGCATTTGATTTGCTTTTATAAATTCTTCGCAAAGGTATATATAAGTAGCAAATGAAGGATCGTTGCCAATGTCATGTGCGATGCTATGCATTAAAAGTGAAAAAAAGTATCTTACTTTACGAATAAATATTGCGTTGGCAGCGAATAAATGGAACGACAAAATAGCGACGACGCGAATATAAATCGACATAATAGCGAGAATAAACATATGCCAATTTCATAAAGTTTAATGCTTTTTTTTCATTATTTCGAATTGGAGTTTGGAAAAAGCGGAAAAGAAATTATAAAAATGATGAAGAGATGAGACAAATATTGCCAATGACCCACTTAGCCACAGAACTCACCTCGCACCGTTTAAAATAAAATTATAAAGTTGAAAAATTTTGTAAATGATATAAGTAACGCATTTGCCTTAGGTTAGCCGAATTATCCTCTCTGGAATGAATTCTGGTATATAAAATTACAGAGAATGAAAATACAGAAATTTGCTATGCATTCATGCAAGGCATTAGATCGAGTATCGCCAAAGGGCCAAAGCAAAGGGAGTAGATGGCCCTATCCCAGCAATTAATTAGTAGCAGCACATTTTAAACCTCTGCCGTTTTTTTATCTCCTTTTGAACCAATATACAATATTCACATTTTGTTTTATTCTTTTAACATCTCGTCGAGCCTCACAATATATTACCATGGATGCAGCATTAATAGTAGCAGCATTACAAAACTGGCATGATAGTACCAAATGATGATAGCGAAAACTGGACATCGATAAGAGGGAGCCATTAAAATTCGTTCATAATTTACACTATTTTGATTAAGCGACTGAGCGATTGACTGAGCGACTATTTTGCTTCGCATAATTATATGATATTATAATTGCCAGTACTCAGATTTTTAAAGCATAATTATAGCCGCATAATTCCAAACTCGCGAAAGGATTTCTTTCTTCAGTTACGCATATTATCACACATAATAACCATATTTTTAAGAATTTGGAGAATTCACGCGAGCTGGTCAGTTATTCTGTGAAAAATACTATAATGTAGATAAAAATACTATAATGTTTGGATTTGATCTCTTTTTACAGGGTCTTGGCAAAAAATATCTAAATGGCAAATCAAGAATTATCATGTTATAATTTTTCATGGAACAAAATAGTTCCCATGTTATATACGATGGTATTTCCTTGTGCATTAAAAATGAACATGAAAAAATGAAAAAACTTATTTTACAAAAAAATGCTGCATAGGAGGTTAATAAATTCCGTATTGTGCATTCGTATGGTGCAGCAAAATATCTAATATAAATCGACATAATAGCGACAAAAA